TATCGTTTTCCACATGAATTGTATACCAAGTACAAAAATTATGTTAACCTATTATTATTTAAATAGCAATAATGGGAATTATTTTAAATTCAACAAATAAAAGAGAACAAAAAGAAATCAAGCAACAATATTTGACGAAAAGAAATCAAGAATTTAAAGACTACTAGGGATTTTGACTTCACTTAATTCTATCCAATTTATTTTATTAGTTATTTTATTAGTTTGATAATCAATTTTAATTATTCAAGTAGGGAAAATAACCCTAATATCAATAACAAGCTCTCCCGATGTATTGTTACCTATTTTAACCCGGTCTAATTACCTATCTTCCAATAGTGCAATCAAACATGAATTAAATCATTAAGATTTATGGTTTGTTTATGAATTCATAACCTAAGGTCATTAACTTATGAAAACTCTTATGAGTCAAACCATATAGCTTCCGCATCAAGTTATTATTCTCATGTAAGTTATTACCCTATTCATATCAAAAACTCTTCTCCCGATAGTGATTTAAATGAAAATTAAGTCAATCCAAAGGAAAAACTCTGTTGAAAGCATAAAGTTCAATAATAATGTATTATTGAATAAGGAAACCAATTAATATTATAAAGAAATCAAAATAAGCTACATTCAAATTCCTAGTATTTGAGGAGTTTTAGTTCAACATAGTAATTTAAATAAAACTCAAATTAAATTGTAATTATTCTTCATATCAACATGGAATATTTGAATAAAACAAGAAAAAAAGTTTAGAAATTAAAAACTAGTTTAATGTTGAAAAAAAGTTTAGAAATAAAAACTAGTTAATGTTGACTTGTGCGGCTTCCTCGAATCTTAACACAAATCTTGAATACTTGAAGTCTTGGAGAGAGAGAAAGAAAACAATAGAACAAAAGATGAAATATACAATGAATCGATCCGTCTTTATGGCTAGTCTCTCTATTTATATAGACTTTCTAGAATATTTTAATGTTCGTTTTGAAAAGTGAATTTTTATTGAGGAAGATAACTTTTGGAGATAGGAAATTATTTAGGCTTTGTATTTCTTCCCAATTAGGACTCTTCCAGCGCCTAGATAAGAGTTAAGCTGGTTTCCAATAAAAATCTTACAAAATTCCTTAAAATCAAGTGAAATATGATTAAAGGAAACTTTACACAAAAACATAAAAAGAAAAAACATAAATAAAACTAATTAAAATAATTAAAAATACTAAAAATCCTAATAAAAATTATATTAAAAATACTATAAAAATAACACCTATCATTACTCTCCTATCATTTCTCTCCTAAAATCTCATTTGCTCCTATGTTTGAAATGCTACCATTTGATCTACTTTTCTACTTATCATACAATGTTTGAACAAACAAACTTCTCTTCTCCTTGTGAAAAGGATCTCATACCATTTTATCTTAATTCAAATCCTTTATTTCCCCCAAATTTAACAATCACATGAGGATGATATTGGCAATATAAATAGTATTATGAAATGAAATTCCCGATAAACGATATTGGTGCTTCCAGTAACGTGCGTTTCCCAGAAATCGAATTTGTATTCTCATCCTTATGAGGATTGAAGTTGTTTACCTTCCCAACTAACACTTCATTGGTTAATATAAATAAATTTTATTGGAAAAATGATATATATATGGGTATAGGATAAAGGAATTGCAGTTGAAACTCGAGATTTCAAAAGCATGTTGGGGAGTTGGAAGGCATAAAATGCATGCTCTAAACTTGACTATTTTCTGGTTTAGGTTAGATTCATCACATCAACAAGGTACAAGAGACATAATGGTGAGAAGCATAGCAATCCTTGTTTTAGAGGAGACCAATTATGGTCTTGTAGTTTTAAAGTACCTACTTCTATTTCTCACAATTTTTTTTTTTTTAACATTCCAAAATTATATATATATAATTAACATTCCAAAATTGAAGTTACTATTACAAAATTGGAGAAAGTTCCCTTTTTAAAGATGATTGTGCAAAGTTCAAGTAAAGGAAAGCAGAAAACAAAAGATGGAAAAAATGAATAATATTGATTTTTCTCCTTGCTCCTATTTTGTTGTAAAGAAAGTTGAGAAGTAGCTCTCAAGGAAATAGCTGAAGATACAATGTAGGATTGATAAGAAGTAGAGTTTGTCTTTTGTGTACAAAGTCGGAATAAGGAATGGGTTCATTTCATGGCTCTCCCTAAAAGGAGTAAACAATGTAGTGCCTACATCAGTAAGTCTGGCTTTTTATAATGCTAGATTCCTGAAACTCTTTGATTTGTCATCATGTGGAGTTTTTTTTTCTTGGACTCTTTTTATAAACAACTTCTCTCTCTCTCTTTCTACTGTTTCTTGAAATTGATAGGGTCAGATTCCCAACTTCTCTTGATATGTTCATCATTATTTTTTTTTTCCTTTTCTTTCTATGGTGGTGGAGGAGGTTGGAGAAACCAGAGAAAATGATGGCTGACATGATTTTTTCAATACAATCAATTTGAAAGGTGACACAATGCTTGTTTATCTCAAAAAAGAAAATACCTCCAAAGTTTCAAAATGGCATAAAACACACTTTCAACTACAACAACACATACAACATAAAATAAAACAAACTCTTTGGATGCTGCAAACCAAGTAATAATTACATTCATTAAAAAATTATTTGTTTTATTGATAGATAAAGAGATGGGTGTGAATGGGGTAAATTACACTAATAGCCACCAAACTTGACATTTAGTTTCATAAGATCAGGTCTTTCACCAGAATAGTAGTCTTTATAAAATGTGATTTACCCATTGTAATAAAAATAAAATATTTTATTTTAAAAATTTATAGAGATAATACATTAATTTAGAATCTAGCTATTAATTTATTTAACAACTAATTTCATTTATAACATTTTTTCCTTTTCTTTTTTATATTCCTTTGTGACTACGATTTTTTTTTTTTTGTGATGTATGTAATTTTAATATTATATTATTGTTTTGATTACCGGATTCTGATAAATGACGTCCCATTTGAACAAAAATTAAAATTCAGTGACTAAAAAATGACAAATTGAAAATATATAATCTAAATAAAATTAAGTGCAAAATTAGGTGACCGTTAATATAATTTATCCATGTCAATGAGTTACAATACTTGGTTATTTAGATTTGATTTGCAAAATATTGAGATTTAACTCAATATTAATATTAATAAAATAGAGTTCAAACTCAATAGCTAAAAAAGTAAGTTGAATTAATTAAGATATCACTTGATTTTGGTAATTTACAAAAATAGTAATTAACTTTTTTAAATTGATCTTCAGTTTTTCACTATGACTTTTTATTAGATCAGCAAATTATTTTAGTTATGACAATTTTATTTTATATATGGTATTTAAAAAAGGAGTCTTGTCTTTCCATTATTTTTTTTTTGAGTGGATAATATTATTTATTTATTTGTATGGATTTGAAATGATTAACGAAATTCTAATATATATTATCTTAAAAGGTCTTAGAAAATTTTTCTATTACTTAAAAAATATGTAGCTTTAGATTTATTGCTCAACTTAAAATAACAACAACAATAATAATAATAACAATAATATTAATAACAAATAAACTTTCTAAAGATATATCTCTTTTTGCAACAGAAAAATTGTAAAATTGTTCTTATAAATTTCATATGGCAACATCTCGTCCATGTTATTCTATTAAAGGAATTAGTTGGCATGAAAAGAATTTAATAATGTTAAACTAAGTATCTAAAATCATTAGGGGCCGTCCATATAAAATCAATGGTTACCTTAAAGCGCAGCATATCAAGATCCAATGTGGAGGATTACATATTATATAATCTCCAGTGGGGGAATATATGGGATCAAGATTCAAGAATGTGATATAGGTAAAGTGTAAGTCCACAAATACATACAGAAACATATAAAAAGTGTAAATTAGCTGGTTTTGGGGAGACAAGCTGAAAGAAAATTTAAAAGAAAGCAAAGGAAAGTAAAAGAGAGAGACAGTCTCTTAACAAAAGAAAAATAAAAACCAGATAGAAAGTTAAAAAAAAAAAAAAAGTTGTAGTTTTAGTACTACAAGACAAAAGTCCTAATTGGTGCATATGTCAGCTTATGATTTGGACAGGTGTTTGGTTTCATAGGACTCTGTTTCTCTCTCTCTCTCTCTCTCTGTTTCTTTTTCTTTTTCCTTTCTCTTCTTTTTCTCATTTCCTTTATATCCCAAAAACAATAAAACCCATCAATTTTACACCTCTGATCATGTATTAGAAAACCCACTTTCCTTTTCTGAATTCTTTGTTTTATTTTTCAACAATGATTGTGGGTTGGTATAGTCGGTAGTTAAAGGGTTAAAGGAGATAGATAATAGTATATTGCTTTAACGGTGGAATATCTAATTAAGTCAAACCAATATGGAATTCCTATCAAGTTACTTCAACTGAATTTCGAACCAACTCCTTCAAGTTTATCTAACGTTTAAGAGAGATTTTCTCATTAAGATGACAAGACAGAGAGTTTTTCGTTTCTTTGCGCTTTTTTTTTTTTTTTTTCGTTTCTTTGCGGCTTTTTTTTTTTATTTGACCATCTGTCTATTTCAATTTATACCTGTGGACTAGTAAGAGAGAGAGGAGAAGAGAGAGAGAGACAGAAGGAGAAGAGAGAGTTTTGAGTGTGTGTTCTTTTTTTTTTTTTTTTTGCCTCTGTCTATCAATTTTACCTGTTGACTGTGAGAGAGAGAGAGAGAGAGAGAGAGAGAGAGAGAGAGAGAGTTTTGAGTGTGTGTGTGTGTTTTGTCACCATCATTGGATGCACGTGGTAGCCCAGAAGGTAAAATTCTTCTCAAAACAGAGTTTTTATTTTATATATAAATAAAATCAGTAAATGGATTAAGTTTGCATATAAATAATTATATAATGTTAATAAATCATTTATGTAAATGCATATTTTATATAATAATTTCGTGTTTGTGTTGATACCCACCTTCCATTTTCGTCAGTTTTTTCTGCTTCCCTCTGTCAAACCGTCTTTCTTCTCCTTTTACTCCTTCTTCTTTGTAAGCATTTCATTCCTTGGCTTTCTGTATTTTATACTGATAGCAGTTGCATATACACATACCTTTTTGATTGCATGAAAACTTCTTCTTCTTCTTCATCTTCTTCTTCTTTTGCCCTTTCTGTTGAGGGATGATTCCTTTCACATGTTTGTTTTCTATAGTTATTGCTGTAATGGGCTTGAATTTTTAGACAGTTTTATGATCTGGGTATGTTTTCGTTTTGTTGTGAAATTAATCTGTTTAATGTATATCTGATGGATTCAGTTCTATTTATTTGTTTGTTATGTATCTTTCTTTTTTCTTTCTTAATTTCAATGACCAATACCAGGTAGTTGAATTGCTATTATATTGCCAATCAGGACTCAATGTGTGCGGTGCTTTCTTTGATGTTTATCCCTAGAGAAAAAATTTACTATATGATTTTAATTCACAAACTCTATATATGGGAGAACTGAATTACTTTATTTTTACTAATTGAATTCTGTTTTGGAGAACTGGGTAATCTAATTTTGAGTCATGAGCTTTGCAAGGGGGGATAACGATCTCTATCCTTAATATTTCTTTGTTTTCAATGTTCTTGAACCTTGAAATCATTGGCTATTTGAGGATCTCTTCCATTTTCTTTTCTTACCAGTCTGTCCTCATTGATTCTCTTAGTATTGATTCCAAATAGTGTGTGATTTGTTTCTTCTTTTGACCATAAATTTGTTTGAGGTGTTGCATTTGTTTAAACTTAATGATTGAGCTTCTACACTTCTGTTTTAAAGGATGGCTCTTTCTGGGGTTCATAAAGATAGAGGAGAGTTGAGGATTCATGAAAGTTTGGATGAGCTTGGCACTGATTTGGCAGATTATATTGCAGAACTATCTGAGGCATCTGTAAAGGAGAGAGGTGTTTTTGCCATTGCCTTGTCTGGTGGTTCTCTCATTGGCTTAATGGGGTATCAGTCACTTCCTTTTTTTTCATTAATTTGTTCTCAAAATATTTGTGATGCTTGTGTTTTGATTTCAACTTCTGTTTGGCAATAGGAAACTTTGTGAAGCTCCATATAGCAAGACTGTAGACTGGGCTAAATGGTATATATTCTGGGCGGATGAACGTGTGGTGGCAAAAAACCATGCTGATAGCAATTATAAACTAGCAAAGGATGGCTTTTTGTCCAAGGTTTGTTGTTTTATTTTTCTTCTCTTTTTTAATGGTTTTTTTGCTTTTGCTATCTAAATATAGGTGATGTTCAGTAACCAAAGGGAAGAAATATATGAGAGGGAAGAAAGTATTTCATGGTTGCTTTGTCAAACATTAAGAGCATTTTGTTTTCCTTCTCTTAATACTCCTAAGCAACAATGGATTGGCCTCCTGTTTTCCTGTTAAAATATGCTAGCTGGTCTTCATCCCATTTAGTTTTTAGATTATTCCTCTTTTAAGTGGCTAATTTTTATTTATAATTGGTGCCTAGTCTCTCCTGTAACCACTTTAATATGCTCATTTTTGCAATGGTGATTAGTCAAATATGCAATTTTTATTTTGTGAAATTGCATTTGATAAGTAACATATGTCTTTTTCAGCCCTCCATTTTTTTTACTATGTAGACCCTTGCTTAATGCTTTTTTTTGATTTCATTTAAAATATCTACGTTCTCTTTTCTATCCATTTGCTACTTAAATTCAGTAAATTCCACAGCTCAAAAAGAAGTGTATTTAACTTCTAGAGGGTAGGTTATTGCCCAATATTTTTCTGGTTGCTTTTGTCAGCCATCTGACATAGTGGCTATTTTTTATTCAACAAAATGCAGTGACTAGATACATGGTATAGCCTTTTCCCTTCTAAGAGCTGTTATGTGATATATTACTTTCCTCAGCGCTTTTTTTATTTTTTTGTTTCTTTTCTTTTTGGTCTTTTCTTTTAGATGCCTACTACATAGGATTGGCGGAACAAGTTTTTGAATCAGTTTTGGCTTTTTAACCTTGAAGGCCCATAATCATCAATAGATCCTAGCAATTTTTGTTCGTCAGCCACTCAACCGTTTTATCATCTTTCAGCCTTTCTCATGTATGTCCACCCTTTCAACTTAAACATTATTATAGGTGTTACACAGAGTAGCAACTCAAGTTTAGAAGAAAAAAATTAATTAAAGAAAGACATCTGTATGTGTGGTACCTGGAGAGAGCATTTACACAGTGTCTCACATTCAAATCCCAGATTTCGCATGTAGAAGACCGTCTATTCTTTAAAAACTTACAGATACTGTCTTGAGTTGTTATCATCTTATTCCAGTTTACCATTTTTGTTACTAGAAACTTGCTAGTCAATTCCAATTAATCCCTTTATAACCTGTTTGGTTGGACTTGTGCGATTTTCCAATATGTTTTTGACAATTTCCATACAATCTTCTCAAGTAGCCAAGTAAAGATATAAGTTCCATTGTTAATGGAGGTGATTACTAAATTTCCTTAGAATTATCTGTTGAATTGATGCATGTTCCATGACTTTGGTTCATGAGACTAGTTCATTATGAGTAAATTTATGTTTTCATGCTCAAGTCAATGTACCTGAAATTTTTATTTAGGTGAATATTCCCTTGTTGTAACCTAAGAGATGAGTCACTGTGCCGAATAAGGTTCTATCTTTTTTTAACAAAAAAAAAAAAAAAGAAAAAAAGAGAACATTTGGACCAGATAATATAATACTTCTGCGATCCATGATTCTAGATTCTTGACTCATATGTCTCTTTTATTGCAAATGCAAAAACCTTAAAATCATCTAGGCTTGATTGGGAAGACACATTTGATGGATTTTGCTTCCAATTCCTTCGTGGGAAAGTTAGTTGATAAAATGCCTGAACAGCTACTAAAATTAGAGTACCTTGAATATATGAATTGAAACAAGGAGATTTTTTCCCGTCTTGTCACTGGAATGTGTTTCCATATTGCGCATTATCATGCTTTGTCATTGCATCTTTCCCTTGTTTACTAGATGTTATCACTCTCTTACGAATTTGCTACCTTTGAAGTGCAAATTAACATGTCTTCTTTCTTGAAATATGGCCATTCCCTGAACAAAAGCTCAGGCAAATTTGTGTGCACCGCATAAAATAGCATTTGTTGCCATTTTCTGGTCATCCATTTAATTGTTCAAGGAAATGAATAGCTATGGCATCTCAATTCATCAATTTTTTGAAGTATGGCAAAATATAGCACATCAAAACTCATAGAGAAGGAAAGGAAAAAGCAAAGTTAGGGCTTGTGGGTAACCTACTGTAATCAAAATTTTGAAATTTTTAGTTCGGTAACATACAATTGGTCTGTAGGCTTTAAACAGAATGGATTAATAGGTTCAACCTTTTCTTTCTTTTTCTTTAATTTGGTCATTTGATTGGCAATTATCTAAACTTTTGTAATTTTATGCTTGTTCTATGTTAGCAGGTCCCGATTGTGCCGAGTCATGTGCATTCCATCAATGATTCAGTATCAGCAGAGGAAGCTGCAAATGAGTATGAGTTTGTTATTCGACAATTAGTGAAAACACGAACAATCAGTGTTTCTGATATTAGTGACTGTCCTAAGTTTGACCTCATCCTTCTGGGAATGGGCCCTGATGGTCATGTTGCCTCTCTGTTTCCTAGCCACTCTGTACTTGATGCAAATAATGAATGGGTTACTTTTATTACAGATTCCCCCAAGCCCCCACCTGAAAGAATCACATTTACCTTGCCTGTCATCAACTCAGCATCCAATGTTGCAGTGGTTGTGGCAGGTGAGGGCAAAGCAGAGGCTGTACACATGGCAATTGATGATATTGGACCTGACTGCCCATTAGTGCCTGCTCGGATGGTTCAGCCAACAAAAGGGAAGCTGGCGTGGTTTTTGGACATGCCAGCTGCCTCGAAACTCAACAGCTATGTATTTTCTGAGTAGGATCAAGATTTCATGGCCAATGTGTATGTTTGTATGTAACAGAGGGGTTGAACAGATGTGGATCCTTTTCTCCCCTTGATTTTGGGTTAAATTCTCCATTTTGGCTTTTATGCTCTCTTCTCTGGAGGAGTTGGAGAAGTGTGATTATCCTTTTTGTATGAAGAATAAAATTGGAGCCTCAGTGCAAAGGCATTTCTCTGGTTTTGATTCTTATTACGATTGTGTTTTGAAGCTTGGATAGTTGTCTAATGGGAGACCAGAGCATCGGAATGTTGATACGACCCTCTCCCACCTTTTTTATGGTTTACACTCAGATGAAAACGTTCCGAGGAATTAAAAATTTTGATGTACAAGCTTTTCTCCATTGAAAAATGGACAACCCTGTCTAATTGCCAATAATAGAAGTCATCTGGAGATAATTGTATAAACTAACTAATATATCCAAGAATCTGGCATGGGAGCAATTGTACATCAGTCTCTACATGTAGAGTGGCGCATGATAATTGGAGAGGCATTTATGGGCATTAATCATTCAAAGAACTTTCAAAAACTGAAAAACAAGAACTTGACATCGCTGTCCATTAAAATCAAGATTAGCTTCTTTACCAACCCTCAATTATCAGCAAATAAATAAAGATGACACCATCTCTCATCATTTCTTTGAGAAAGTGACTTCACTTGAGTGTGTGGGGTTGCATATTTTTTGCACGGTTAAGCTAACTTGTCCTCAGAATTCATAGATTAAGTTCATTTCTGTCTAGGTGGACCACACAAAATTACTCTATAATAGGTATTGTCCCTGTAATAAATTAATGTGCTAACCTAATAATTTAATGACTAATGATACCACCTCACTTCAAGTCCTAACAAGCCCCACTTCACTATACAAGTGAAGAAGATGTACTATAATTTCACCATAGGGTATCTTGGCCAGTCTCTAAAGCATACACATTTCAGAGCAAGATTGCTCCAGTGGAAAAAAAAAATTGCCCCTGTCGATTCTGAGCCTGATTATATTCACTTCTTGACAAGTTGAAATTGAAATGAACTATATAATAGGAGGGAAGTTTTCTCCTTTTTCAAAAACGTCCTTCCCCGTCCTTGTGTCGAACATGAGACCTCCCAATAAGAACATCAATTCTTGACCACTGTGGCATCTCCTTCTGAATGAACCTGATTAAAATAATGAAATCAATATTTTATAAGTCGGTCTAATTAAAGAATCAATCACTAATTCAGTTGAATAAAATAAAGAAAAAGAGTATACTTGTCAAAGGAACACATGGATTGTTATTATAGATGTGGTAAACTACAAAATTGGAGTTTCACAATTGGCTCACATCCGATAAATCTAAAACCAAAAAAACAATTTTGCTTTACAGGAGGAAGAAAAAATCAGGCCTTTCAGAGGCATATAACTGACAAACAAAGATATGTCTATTAGCCTAACCAGCAAATCAACTCACAGGCTCAACTGTGCGGTATTCCCTTTCCGTTATTGATCTAATGCCGTTCATATCAGGCTCCACTTCTTCTTCCATGTCTTCCTTAGGGGGAAAGCCACGCACCCGTCCTAGCAGCCACTGATCTATGACTCCACAGTCAATAGCATACTTGATTGTGTGCTCCAAGTACCCTTTATCAGTAATGAGGTGTGGCTGAACTGAAAACATTCTCAAGATGGCTGAAAGCATGAAAGAAAACATAACTTAGAAAAAGTAATAGTTTGTGAATGTAGAAATTAAATAAAATAGCAGCATGAGTTCATATCATCCCGACCATGTAGCAGACACATTTATCTATATACTGCTGCCATTTCAACCAGGAATATGAAAGTCATAAAAACAACACCTATTCAACAAATAAACTAATGTAAACAAATTATTGGGCTTCTCCATGCTTCTTGTAGAGCACATGCTACTCTCACAACCTGCCTCCTGAGATAACATGAAAATCTAGGTGAAGAGTAGGCAAGGTGCAAAAGTGCAAAGCTCAACTGCTCTCTTTGTTAATTCTATCAGCTTAACATATCACCTACTCTTGGAAATCTAGGGGTGGGGGAACTTTTATGAATAATTGTGCACATGCATGATACTGTACCTGCAACAATGCCATCTCCAGATGCAGACATATCACATGTGAAAGGCGTAATTGGAGCATCCTCCATGCCATGGACTGAGCCATTGTGCTCCTCGGTGTAATAATGTATCTTTGAAGTCCCATTTGTCACAAACAAAACCTTCAGATTTTCATGCCAGAGTGGTGCCACCACTTCTGGTCCATAATGGACAAACTTGGATCTGGCATTATTCTTGGTGTCAAATTCGTCAGCGGGCTTGATCCCACAGAGAAACTCAAGCTCTTGCTTGGTTACCTCAATAATATTTGCATGATTCCACACTTCTTGTATGAATAATTTGGTTTCTTCACTGGACTGCCACAGCGGCAATGGAAGGTTTAAGTCATAGAAAATAACCCCTCCCAACTTCTTTGAAATCTTGATTGCCTGCAATGTAGCTAATCGCATGCTTCGAACAAGCAGGGAATGTGTAGTGAAGTAGAACATTTTTGCCTGCATAAAAGGTGGTTAAAATGTTGAATGAACTGACAAAGAAATACAGCCTACCAAAGTTTACTTACCAAGCAACTTAAGCACAAGGATAAACACAGACATATTAAAACGTGTAACAATAGTGGCAAACATTTAGTGATTTCAGAGAATCAGCTGTTCATAGAAGTCATATTTTAAAGAAACACTAATTGCAACTGTGTATCTTTAAGCAAAACATAGGATTGCAAAATAAGAGAAGTTTAGACCATCCTTCAAAAGTTCATAACAGAATAAGATACAAAAAGATAACACCATCCAACAATCCCTTCATTTAAGAGAGATGTTAGAGATTGGAGAAACAAAGAATTGCATAGTATGCCTATTTGTTTATTTATCTTGTAATACGATAATCTGTTTGTTTATTTATTTTGCTTGCTGGATTCCTTCAAAATAAACTGGTAAATCTTTCAAATCTTTTTTTATCTAGGCAGTCGATACCTATCATTTTTAAGAAATGCGTGTAATTTACCAATAACGGAAGTTTGATGCAACATGAAAAAAAGGGAGGGAATTGCATAGTATGCCTAATTTTGGTTTTATTTATCTTGTAATACGGATAATCTGTTTGTTTATCTTATTTGACTTGCTGGATTCCTTCAAAAATTAAAACTTGGTAAATCTTTTAAATTCTTTTTATTTCTAGGCAGTCGGAACCTATCATTTTTAAGAAATGCGTAATTACCAATTAACGGAAGTTTTGATGCACATGAAAAAAAGGGGGGGGGGGGGGGGAGGGAGAGGGAGGGGAGGGGAAGTTTGAAAACAAAATTTGCTACCTCCTCAACCAATCAATGTTTAGAGAGGAGGGGAGGGGAAGTTGAGAACAAAATGCTACCTCCTTCAACACATCAATGTTTATTTCAGATTTAGAGAAAGAATCCTCAGCACAGGGTTTGACACAAGTCATTCTCAGACGACCTTTCTTAGGAATCTTCATCTGTGATACAGCCGTTGCCCTTTTACTATCAGTGCGAACAGATCGTGTTTGAACATTGTTCACGTTCATATAGTATAGCATGGATTGACCATACTCATCATCTCCAAGTTTTCCCATAAAAGCAACCTTACCTCCCAAGCTTGCAAGAGCAATTGCAACACTCCCTGCAGATCCTCCAGGTGCTCTTACAAAGTTTTTTGGTGCCCATAATGCATCCTTCATTCTTTCATGGATTTCATAATCTATAAGTCTATTAGCTGGCCTTCCTGATGGCACAAAAGCATGCTGCGCAGCTCCAAAGCAACAAACAAGGGGAGGCCAGCCATACGTGTAGCTAATATCCTCTCCATCATCTTTAATCAGTTCTAAGTCTACATCACTCTCATCCTCAACATCTGGAACAAATCCAGACTCCTCTAAATCGCTAACATCAGATTCACCACCTTGATCCTCAACATCCTCGTCCACCTTCTTAGTCTTTCTCCTCCTGATTTTCTTCTCAGTTTTCTCTTCTTCCACCGTGGAGGCAGCTTTTGTAGCTATGGATGATAAAGCAATGAATTTAACACATACAAAACAAACAACGTCTATGTTAAGAATACATATACATCAAATGATAAAAAGTCTACCTTTTCTTTGAGTCCTCCTTCGGGTTTTCTTTGAATCTTCACTTGATGCAGGGACAACAGTTTCCTCACTCGCAGCATCAGTATTTATGATCAATTCAGAACTCTCATCTGGTATATCAGATGTTTTCTTCCTAGTTTGAGTAGTAGCTCGTTTAGACTTCCTAGTTGTCCTCTTTTTTGAAATGACACCATTTTCACTATGTTCTTCTTCAGGTAAAGACTCGGAAATTTTCTTTCTAGAAATAGCTGCAAGACAACATTTATTTTGCAATCGAAAATCTTGAAGTTGAACAAAGTTCAGGGAATGGTTATTTGGGCAAGTTGAATACCACCTGCTGATATGAAGAGTCAAAATTAGTAAAACCCACGCAGCAAATGATTTTATTCTTCATCTTCTAAACAATACTAAAAAATTTGAAGTATTGCCCATAAGCCGAAAGTATGACCATCCACAAAGCCTCTAATCAAGCAAATAAAGTTCACTTATCTTTGAAACAAAACATACATTCATAACAGAAACGCAAACACTGCAGCATTTTCAAAGACAAAAATAAATACTCATATATTAGCTGTTGTTACGAGTCAATAAAAATGATATATAGATACGAAATTATTCTATTCAGAGCCCAAATTTTAGCAGTTGAAAGGAAGTTAAGTTGAAGAATAAGAGTTCAGAGATAAGAGAGAACCTGGGCAACGAAAGGAAATGGGTTAAAGAGAGAGACGCCATTAACAGAAGTTAGTAAGAGCTCTCCGTCCACCGATTCTCTGAATTATCGCCGGTGGTTTATCCTTTACACGAATTAATTGCCCAAAAATGCGTTGGGGTTTATGCAAGTCAGGGGGTTTAAGAACGGAAAAGCGTTCATTTCATCTCTCAACAGCAATTAGCGGGAGAGGATTTTTATTTTATTTACGTAAGAAGCCTTCCAATAATTACGGCCTTAGGTTTCAACCTTTGACCTTACAGAAAAACTTAGACATCCGTTGCAGGTAATTTGGTTGGAGATGTGATAATTGTTTTTTTTTTTTTTTTTTTTATGTGATAATTGTTTTTTTTTTTTTTTTTTTTGGGAGATACCACATGTTTAAAATTATCTTAACCATATAAGTTAAAAATTTTTAAAAACTTATGGGCATTTTTTTTTTTTTTTTTTTTGGGAGGATACGACATGTAAAATTATTAACCATATAAGTTAAAAATTAAAAACTTTGGGCAGTATTTTATTAGTGGTAATTATAATTATAAAAATAAAAAAGTAGGTGTATATATATGTCATTTTTTTATTACAATATATAATAATCAAATTTTATGCCGTACACCTTGCGTGAGAAGTTATTAATGATGTAACATTAGCGAATGAGTTTAAATGTAAAAAAGTAAATTAATTTATTGCTATTTTGTGATAAAATATTTTCTGGAGACACATTTTAATAAGATTAATAAAAAAATAATGTGCTAAACATTTCAATAAAAACTAACATAATGCTCGATCTTTATGGAATGACAAATGAGTGTGTATATCAAAAACAAAAATGACAACCAAACCATTAATTGCATGGAAGCAAATGGTTTGTCTATATGAGTGTTAGCATTCAAAGCACACACAATGTCTTGTATTAGAGTTACTCAGAATTAGCCTAAAAATGCATTTGACAAGAAAGACATCCATCGTTTCATCACATCAGAAGTTAAGAGCTATTCTGTTTCAAAACTTCTGCTTCAGCCCTTGCCATTGGGTCATCCTTGACTTCCACTGCATCTTCCTTTTCCCCTTCTCGCTCTTCTGCCATTTTCTTTCTATGCAATTCTTCTGCAGCTTGCATTGCAGCCCTGTTCTCCGCCTGAACTCGTTCCATTTCCTCTTGTTGTTGTTGCCGCTCAAACCACGTATCAGCATCCGCCCAAACTGAAGAATTGAAGAACAAAGTCAATCTCACAAGCATATAAATTGATCTCTGTGACTTTCAGCCCCATGAAAATATAACCCATGGAAAATGTCTGCTTTTAACGCTAGAATCCTAGAAGTCTACTGCATCAAGACCTGATGGGTTTAATCTTCGATTAAGATATGAAAAATGTCTGCTTTTAACGCCAGAATCAATCGATCAAATTTAAGCAGATAAAGGACACCACTTGCAATCTCCAAAAGCAAGACATATTGCATATGTATTACATGCAAAGAGCAGTAAAAGCTGATGGCACAAATTTATGTAACCCGCCTAAAATGCTATTGACTCAATGATACCTGTGAATTGTGAACAAGTTAAATCTTCAAAAAAAGCTACTGCACCAGAGACAATTTTACTCCATGTAAGATTGGTATTCAAATGGTTTCCTTTTTACACCACAAATAACTAAGTGCAGATAACTCATGAACTTTAACATTGAGAAACAAAACTCAATACCCCCTTTACATAAATAATTGAAGTTTTTCCAATCGCATCTTAAACAATTGATTAACTCATATGCATAAGATGTTTGCAAATACAAGTTCCTCCTTAATTTGATTGTTTGCACCAGCAAATTCAGTCACAGTAGAAAATGTCAAGCACGTGCTAGCAACAAGTTTCTGATCTCATCTAAATCATAAGACTCACGTTCATCAAGTCCCACATCAGAGTTACACATCATAATACACACATTTATCAAGTCCAAATCAGGGTTCGACAAATTCTTGTAACTATTCTTATCAATGCATCCTATAAAAGACAAAGACTTCTAGCTATTGAAGAATTGCTTGACTAGTTTTTGAGAAAGCCAAGCATTTAAACAATCACAACGGCCATCAACAATCAAAACTTGAATGCATTAAGAGGAAGATTAGCTACGTATCAAAAATTATCCACCATCTCAAGAAATTTTGATCAAATAGTTCGTTGTTATGATTCTTCAGTTCATTGCCCAATTAGCTATAATCAATCAATTCAAAGCAAAAACCCTAAACCCCGAATTACCATAGATATTACAGAGCGTAACCTAAAATTAAACTCAACCAAAAACCAATCCACCAATTCAAAACCATCAAAACCCAATTCACAAAGAAGACAGAGAAGATTGCGGTTAGGGTATAAGCATTTTAGACTTTTTGAAACAAAATTTAAAAAGGGAAAAAAGCAAGAAGTTATATTGAAGAAATAGGAGAGGAACTTACTAGGCTGGGCCGCCCAACCCTGTTCACCACCCTTGATGCGTTCAGGAAGAGCGTAATTGACAGTAAGAACACGGCCATAGAGCTCGGCACCGTCCATATTGTCCATAGCAGCGGAGGCGTCCTCTTTTTCAAGGAAAGTAACGAAGCCAAAGGACCGGTGCTTCTGGGTAGCTTGATCCAAAGGAGTTTTAACGTCCTTAATGTCACCAAAAGGGATAAAAGCGGCGTGGAGAATAGACTCATTCACTTCCTCTGCTAATCCTCCTACGTACAGTGTGTTCTTCTGCACTTGTAGTTGCTGCTGCTGCTGCTGCTGCGCCATGGTTTTATCACTATTAACAAAACTATCACTCTCTCTGCTTCTTGCAATCCGTTTCTTTCTTTCTTTTTTCTGTTAGAGAAGATTTCTGATTTTGTTTGGTGAGTTGAAATTCGGAAGGCTAGATCAGGAATTCTGGATGGGACTGTTTTGCTACTGATAATTAACTATTTAGACCCTAAATGGTCGAAATTTCAAATTATTATTAGATTCTTACCGTTTGTAGTAAAATCACGGTTAAATGAGGAATTGAATAGTAATTTTCTTTTTTTTTTTTTTTTTTTTTTCTTTTTTTTTTTTTTTTTTTTTTTTTTTTGAAAGGAGAATTGAAGAGTAATTTAATTATATACATGAATGGCTAAATAATAATATTAGCCGTAAATGATAATAATTAAAAATTACAAGTATTTAACTGTAAAGTGTGAGTACTAAATAATTTAATGATGTTAAATCTCCCAAACCAATAAATAATTTTGATAACAAAATTTTACAAAAATTTAAGAATTAAATAATTAATTAACGATGATTATATGATAATGCTTTTCTATTGTTAGCTCATATGTATATTTATCACCGCGATAACACTCACTTTGACATACAATTTATTAAGAATTGGCATCTTGAGTTGCCTCTTATATTCTTTTCTTTTTTACTATACTCAAGAAATGGTCGGTTGTTATTTAAAAAATAGTTTTGTTAATTTAAACCAAAATCGAACCGTAGTTTGGAATTATCAATTTCAAGAATATCATTCCTTCTTTATTTTCTTTTTTAAAGACATTAAAATTCTTGAATGACGTAGAGACATTTTGTGCTAACAAATCATGTTCATATCATGCTGAGACACTAGTACAACGGGCTATAACCATTAACTTCATTGCATTGCATAGAATATCCAACTGCAACAAGCTTCAAATCTATTCAAAAAGTTATTTCAGCGAGTTACTTATTTCAAGAACTGTTCAGGAATAATCTTGCAGGTGCCCATGCCGAGACACAGAAAAGATATGCGAGAAAACACAAAAAGAAACAGAAACAGAAAAAGAAAAAGAAACCCCAAATCAAAGTAACATGATGGAAGTAAACCAGTAAACGTCAAGCATTCATTCATCTGCAATTTTTGTATGCATAAATTTGCAGCGAGACTTACTCTCAACTCCTGTCGTGATGTAAATAAAATCATAGCATTCACTTCTCAATCCATTCATCTTTCTAACGTATAAATGAATTGTAAAATAATGATGGAGCCGCTTATCTCAATGATTAACCTAGTCATTCAAAATTGTGACAACAAAATCTTCTCAGCAGCCAAGATAAAACTTTTGGATTACTCTACTTCTTACGCAAGTATAAGAAGCCAACAACCACAGAGATACCAACAATGGCTACTGGAAAGGCCCAATATTGCTTTGTCAAGTCCTTGAGCTTCTGGACATGCTCTGCTGGTTGTTTGTTGAAGTCAATTTTGAGTTCTGGGATAACCGGGGCGGATGGATCAAGCTCACCAATGCAAAAGCTTTCTAATAGCTCCCTTGCACTTTCGCTATGGCCAGCATCTTCAAACTCATCTGTTGCATCTTTCCCTTCAATGAAATTACAAGCACTGATTAGAATACTGATTCATGACTAAACTATTGATAGTTGACTTATTTTTTAGTTGAAATTTCTGTTGAGGCATTTTATTTTCACAAGATTGAAAAATAAAAGAAAAATACCAATTGTAGCAAGGACAACATCGTCTCCACCCGGGTGCTCATCCAAGTATGAACTCACATCATATACCTGGTATGGGCCGAAAAAATTAAATACATATTTATGCAAAATATAGGGAGGATAGGGGGAAGGGGGTTTCATGTTCTCATCATGAGATAAGAGACGATGATAACAAAATACAAATTTGCAATTAAATTAATCAGTGAAAATCCAGCCATGTGCTGACCACTGCAGTAATCATTAATCGCAGATAGTGTTAAGCAAATTCAGCAGCACGCAAGGCAGCCAACAATAGAGTTCATTTTTGACCGATAGACAGCATTTAATAGGATCCTTATAGACAACATACCTATAACAATTTCAGGTAATCCAAAAGAGAGTCTATTTGTCTAGAAAAAAAATACTCGAGCAACAGAGATCCACCGTTTCAGGTAACTGGAAAAGCCCTTGATAAGTACAAGCAAGAATAACTCATATCTTAAAATTAATATTAAACCCTTCTCATAATATTTTTATTATGTATTGACCCCTATAATTTTTTTTCTAGATTCGCCTTTGCCTATACCATAGAGAAGCAACAGAGCTCCAGGCCACTGTTTTCATTGAACATTCGCAGCATTAAAGAACAGGAGAAACTCAGATAGTTATCTCATTCATAAGAATTTTAAGCGCTAAAAAAGTTGTCTCAGTAACTGAAAGTGGATGAGGTGGCTTTGATACCTTACTAACTAGAGCACATGGTACTCTTATTTTAACTGTATTGCAACTATAGTTAGCCACTGTTTTCTAAGCATGCAAGCAAACGATCTTAACAATCTATCTATACTACTGTACATGGGAAACCAATTTAAGCGAACACCTACCTTTTAGTGCAGATTAAGGACCAACCCTGTTTAAACTAAAGTGATCCAACCTGAGTCTTGCCAGTTAGAGCATATGCTCTTGCAAAATCATGCACACAGGAAATCTTTTTTTTTTTTTTTTTCCTTTTAAATCTATTTTTTTTTTTTTTTCTTAAACTTTTTTTTTTTTTTTTTTCCCTTTAACTACCCAAGGAAAAAGAGAAAGATACAAGACAAAGAATTCCATTAAAACATAAACCTAAACAAATGGAATGTGTCTTTCGCCCCTTTTAAAATACTAGAGTTTAAGGTATCCAAGAAAAGCGTAATCAAGCCAGTTTATTAGCACAACATAAGTTATACCCCAAAGTAAAAAGGATAAATTCTGCAACTAAATTCCCATGACCAACAGGCATAATCATTTAAAATTTAACATTGTAGACATCATAAAAAACACTTCAATCACTAGAATAAGCTGTTAATCCAAAATCCCCACACTAACTAACACAAGGCCGCCTATTGCCTATAGTCTATAATGTATATGCACAATTAATAAAGATTTTCCCAAGAGCCATTATTCCATGTTTAATTCAAAAAATTTATGTTCTAAAGGGATTCAAGCAAGAGCAAACACATCAACTACAGTTTGAATTGAACTATTACTAATTCAAATTCAATACTTCCACAGGCAATTGTTCCTTTTGAAACTCCAACAGAATAGATATCTACAGCCAATTATTATAATCCAAATTATTATAATAGCAACATAAGAATTTAACAATAACCCAGATCTAAAAACATAATAATCTAGCTATAAAACCCAAAAAGGAACAAGTTCAAAAGAACCAGACAACACATAAAAATATGACCCATATAGACTATAATTCATGAAACCCAGAAAAAGATGTAAAAATGGTACCTTGCCATCAATAACGATCCAGCAGTCGTCCTTTGTATTGTGTTCGGCTGCTTCTTGCATCGTATAAAGCTTCGTAAGAGTAGGCATACTGTTTGTTGGTCGACTATCTCGCTTTCTCAGATATTCGGTATCTCAAATTTCTTTTTCTCTGTTGAATCTTTGTTGGTTTTTTCTTCTATTAGTTATCACATAAGCCCTCTCCCTTGCTTGTCGTACGGACAAAGATGATTTCTGAATTGGACTTCTCTGACTCTCTTCTCTGCTAGAGAGACCAAACCTAAACCAAATGGTCCAAAACCCAAATAAGTCGGACTTGAGCCTGATCCAATAGGATCCAAAACGATCGTTCTTTTGAACATGTCGTTTCCCTGGACGACAGGAAAATCTTTTCCATGGGAAAAGTTTCCTTAGCAAGTAGTAAAATATTACTGTTATTACGTGTCTTGTGAACCAAATTGTGGTTTAATATGTTTCTTCGAGTAACAGGAATTCAAAGCTTGTGTACGGACAAATCTCATGCACACTTGCCACTAATCTATATAAATTTTATATGTTCATTAAAGAATAATTTATTTAGAGAATTAAAAGAGTAAATAAACACCAGCTAATTAAAGTTTTTATTTCTCTATACCAAAGGCTAAAATAAAAGAAATATGTTAAACTGAAACAAGTTCACAAGACAACAATATCATAAACATCCAAATGACCAATTATTATCAATAATTTTTCTTATTTGGAAAACAAGTTTAATACTAAGGGTAAAATATATCTCAATCCTTAAATTAATACTTTCTCTCTTTACTTCCAGAAAATAACTATAACATATTTAACTTTGTTTCCATTTCATTATCGGATCTTCTGTTTAAAAAAGAGTTTGTATCTTCAATTAAAAAAGAAAATGATTAAAATGACTTTTCTAAATATAATTATTTGAAGTATTCCCCTTTGATAAAAAAAAAAAGTAATCTTTGATTATGTCGTAATTGACACATCTGTTTCTTTATTTTAAAAAATAAATATGACGTCTCTAAATAAAATGATCTTTCTAAATTGAAAAACCTGAAGATGAGATAGAAATAAAAGTTAGAGATGTTATATTTAATTCTTGAAAGTGAACGTATAATCTAGGAATTCAGATATATTTTACCCTAACACTAATGACTCATAAAGGAAAAATCTGAAAAGGTTTAGCTTTTTATGCTATTTAGAGTACGTTGAAACCAAAATGGATTTCCTTATGAACCACCCAAATAAAATGTCATAATCTACAGGATTTTTACGTTAATGCTAATATCAAAAGGCAAAAGACCTTATACTATTAATAATTCCCTTGTGAGACGGCTTGAACATCAAATGTTTTTTTACCAATTATTAGAACCACCCATCTATATTCACATAATGTACTTATTATTTTTACTCACCAGATGTATTTACCGTTTATAGTTTATACTCAAATAAGGCAAACATGACATCTTCGTTGCAATAAAAAAATTTTCATAGTTTTGTATCACTATTTATTAATTCCCTACACTAATTGGAGTACGTTGAAACCAAAATGGATTTCCTTATGAACCACCCAAATAAAATGTCATAATCTACAGGATTTTTACGTTAATGCTAATATCAAAAGGCAAAAGACCTTATACTATTAATAATTCCCTCACAATTCTTCTTCTCCTTCTTCTTCTTCTTCTTCTTCTTCTTCTTCTTCTCGCTGATGGCTCGTAATCTAATGACTACTGTGGCTTTATTCATAGGCTTAACTTTACAGTATTTCATAATCACGGCATTTGCTTGCAGTAGTGGGCAATGCAAGGTCTTGACACTATTACATATATTCTAATTTCTTTTTTTTTTTTTTACTTCTCTTTTGTTTCCTTTGAATTTTGAGTTTGATTATTGTTTGCTTTGTTTTGTACTGTAGCTTCAAGATCAATGCTCTTCTGATGCAGATTGTGAGGCTGGGCTTTATTGCCTGTCTTGTTCTCGAGAATTTGAAGGTTCAAGATGTGTAAGATCAACCATAACAGACCAATTCAAGCTTTTGGTAATTCTATTTCTTTTTTTCCCTTCAATTGCCAACTTCCAATTATCAAACAATAATGGAACATAAAATGAAGGAATTTTTTAAATATTATTTTAAAATAATTAGTAAAAACTTAGAATAATCATAGTTGATCACTTAATTTTTTTTTTTTTTTTTTTTTTTTTTTTAAGAATGGAAAAATTGCTTCTTTTTTTTTTTTTTTTTTTTTTTTTTTGAGAATGGAAAATTGCTTCTATTAATTAAGAGGATTGTCCAACAGAACAAAAGGAACAATAGAAGAAGGAACTTCTTCCATCCAAAACAAAGCATCAACAGAAAATTGAGCCAGCTTGGCCAATTCATGAGCTACCTGGTTTCCAAGCCTACGAACATGAGAACATTCAAAAAAAAGAAAGACTAGAAATACATGCCTGTGTATCCAAAAAAAAAAATTAAATACATGCCTGCTCTACTAGGTTTTGTATTTATTACATTCAGCCGATAGTTAATTTTTATTTAAAAAATTGTCACTAATTATTTTTTTTCTCTTTTTTTATCTTGTAAAAAGACACTCATGCAGTTATTTATGCAATTATCTATTACATTTAGTGACATACATTAAATCAATAATTAATCGCCGTTTAGAGAAAAATTATCATAATTTGTTACTAGTTTATCCCTTTTTTTCTAGGAAAAATATTTGTTGATGCGCATGGCTCCATTTATAAGCCAAATCAGTGAAAATAAAAATTCTTTAAAAATTGTTTACACTTTATCATTTTTTTTAAATATGATAAAAAATATACTCGTTTTTCATTGTTTTTTGCTTTTTTTTCAATGAGAATACACTACCAAACTAATGAAAATAATGATTTTTTAAATATTGTTCTTATTTTTATCTTTTTTTTTTCTACTATGGTATGAAATATTTTGGTTTCAATAAAAATTCTTATTTTTAATTAGTTTGGTCCATGGATGAGGCTATAAACTCAGTTTAGATAAGTATTTTCCTTTGTGTATTGTATGCTGCTCTTATACAAGGTGCTGGTAAGTCTAACTTGAATGTGTAAGTATAGGATTTAAGGAGATTTCAGAATTAACTTTGTTTTTGTATCAGGGCTCTATTCTCATCAATCTCATACTTGATGTGCTAATTTACGGTGATTAAAAATTCAAATCTTGATTAAGAAAATTATTTCACTGATCTGCAACAGAACAATTCTCTGCCTTTCAACAAATATGCATTTTTGACAAGTCATAATTCATTTGCCATTAAAGGAGAGCCATCTCGTACTGGAGTTCCTCGACTCACCTTCACAAATCAAGAAGACACCGTCACACAACAGCTAAATGTAAGCCTATCTCTGTATATCTGTCTGCGTATGTATATATATCTCTATATATTTCTTTGACAGAAAAGAAAATTCAAATGTAGCATGGAGTTCGAGCATTAATGTTGGACACTTACGATTTTGATGGAGATGTATGGTTATGCCACTCGTTCAAGGGCAAATGCCGGGACTTCACAGCATTTGTCAGTAATTCTTGTGTATATATATTTCTCTTTATGTTATTATTAGAATATTTTTGTTTCTTTCTTTTTATTTGATATATATATATATACAGGAACCTGCTATAGAGACGTTAAAAGAAATAGGAGCCTTTTTAGCAGCAAATCCATCAGAAATTGTAACGCTGATCCTGGAAGACTACGTGAAGACTCCCAATGGATTGAGAAAGGTTTTTAAAGATTCGGGTTTGATGAAATATTGGTTTCCATTGTCAAAAATGCCTGAAAATGGACAAGATTGGCCACTAGTTAAGGAAATGGTTGCCAATAATCAGAGGCTTATCGTCTTCACTTCTGTCAAATCCAAGCAACAAACTGAAGGAATAGCATATCAATGGAACTTTATGGTCGAAAATCAATGTAAGAAACTGAAGAAATATATTCAGTCATCTTATAGTTAATTTTTCTACTGATGTTATTTTTATTATTTGATTTCATTTCAGATGGGAATAAAGGGCTGCATGAGAACTGTAAAAACAGAGAAGAGTCATCAACACTTGATGACAAAACTAAGTCTTTGGTTCTTGTAAATCATTTTGGATCAATTCCTGCGAGGACACTTGCTTGCGGGTTGAACTCTGAAAGTCTTATCAATTCCCTTCACAAATGTTACACCGCATCCGGTAATCGATGGGCTAATTTTATCGCTGTTGACTATTACAAGGTATATATATATATATAATGTAAAGTTATGAGATTTTTTTTTTATTATTATCTTTTTACTTCCAATATGCCATTTTTCTATGATGATTGACATTTGACAATGGCGCAGAGAAGCAATGGAGGTGGAGCATTTGAAGCCGTAGACACACTAAATGGAGAGCTATTGTGTGGCTGCAGTGATGTACGCGCTTGTGCGGTAAGATTTTATGCTTATATGAATCATATAATATAATTTGCAAGAAAATATTAATTGCCATAGTAGTAATTTATATCATTCAAAATTCATGAATAATTAATTTCCATCCATATTATATTGCTTGCAGCGCGAATCACCGACAAGATGTACTCATTAAGGAGGAAAAATAGACAAAAAATTGTAACTCTCTTGAGAGTGTATAAATTATTATTAATTATTTAATTTATGTATTATCAATTCAATTATCTCGAAAGTAAGTCGTTCTACTTCATTATGTAAGAAAGGAACTTACTTTATATAAAGCTTTGTAAGTTGCATTTTTTAATTACGTACAATGAATTTACCAAATTTAACATATAATACATTATTATCTAAATGCACTTCAAATCATATTGCATACGTTATTGTCTTTTAAAATATCAATTTTAACCTTAATACATTTGCAATCTTTTTCCTGCCACTTAGGAAATGAACTTCTCTCTATTAACCTAATTTTCTCTTTCCTTTTTCCTCCAAAAGCTCATATCAGCTCCAAATTTATAAATGTTTCGAGCCAGAAAACAAAGAACCCCCAATGAAAAATGAAAAAAAAAAAAAAAAAAAAACGAGCCAGAAAACAAAGAAACCCCCAATGAAAAATGAAAAAAAAAAAAAAAAAAAAAATCTGATTTGGCATTTAAGTCTTCTCCAAAACCAAGATTTGAAAAAATGTTCCGAGGAAGTAGGTTTCAAATCCAAATATATTGACAAAAAAAAAAAAAAAAAAAAAAATCTGATGCATTTAGTCTTCTCCAACAAGATTTGAAAAATGTTCCTGAGAAGTAGGTTTCAATCCCAAATCATATTGACTTTAAATGGTTTAATTCCATGATCCGAAACGGCGGCCAAGGAAACGCAGAGCCATAGCACATGGCTTTCTGATTTCTCTGGTTCTAGTGTTGTTTATTTAACTTTGACTTAGATCAAGATTGGCTACAGGAAAAAAGCAATTGAAACAAAGACAGACCATACAAAGCATTAGCAACAAAAAGATGGCGGCGAGAGGAACTCACCACATGGTGGTTGGTGGCTTCAACTTAGCTGTGGAGCCAATGCAAGATTTATAGTATCTATTCTGCAACAAATTGAAGCACTTTTGTCGGTCTTTACATTTTTTTTTTTTTCTAACATGAAATAACCTTAAAGATAGCCTATTTTTAGTCCTCTAAAGTAAGAGATGAGGTGAATTATTAGTGATTACATCTCAATGAAACTTTGTTTCTCTTGATATTGGATTAGTTCACGATCCTAATAATCATTATCTGTCTCTGCTTGCTTAAATTCAGTCCGTAAATCTATTTATAGATCAAACTAATGAAAATAATTTTTTTATTGCAACGAAGATAGTTATAATCATTCATTGGGAAAAAAAAATAAAGTGAAAATAAATTTTTTAAAAAATGAGTTCGGTCCATAGATGGGGCCGTAGACCAAGGGTAGGCAAGTCTAATCCTTCTTATATATCTCTTTTTTTAATGTATCAAATAAAAAAAAAATCATCATTTTGACCTCGAACTGTTTTGATTATTTGCTATTGAATTTAGTAATTCAGTAATCGAATATCTATTTCATATTATAAAAAATTCAAGGACCAGAACTCTAACAAGTTATATATCTCGTTTTCTTGTGCGTCAAATAAAAAACATTAATGCCAACCAAGTTTGGCATGTTTGGTCTTTTCACTAACGTGAGTAGTTGGAGGTTTCGAGTTTGATTTTTCTTGACCATAAGAATTCCCACTAATTTGGTGAGTTAAGGTGAGGTATGCATTTATTATGTAGGACATCGTGTTATTTCGACCCATTGGACCTTCTAATGAATAAAAATAAACTTTAATTTTTATCGTACAAAGAGATTATTTAATTATTAATTAAAATTGTAATTTCAAATCTCAATTGAAATCCAATAAATTAATTACAAGTAAAAGACACAATTTTAAATAACATTAACATGAAAAAACTTGCTCATAAGATTATAGTATTATTTGACATGATGTGAAGAACAAATATGTGCCCTGTAATTATTTTTTGGTGCCATTAAATTGTAAGGTACAAACTCCTTTCTTTTTTGTAGCTAAACTTTTTGTTGAACATGTAATGCTGTAATTAATAATGGCTAGCTTGTCTTTTTTGTGGGTCTAATAGATATAGGAAGGCAAAAAAATGTTGAATAGACGTTCTCATTTTGGTACCACATCAAGAATTCAGAAGAAAAATAATTATTGCATTTGCATGTTCTATTATGTACCAGATGAGAAGACGTTGAGAAAGAAATATATATATATAAAAAAAAAATATATCACCCTCGATTGGACTTGAATATTCTCCAATTATATTCGTTGATTTTTCCTTTTCCATTGCTTATATTAAAAATAACGATAAATACTTTAAAGAGGATAGTAATTTTTTTTATTAAAATGAGAGATAGAAATATTCATCTCACTTGCATTAAAGAAATAATATAAATTATAAGAAATATTTTTTTAAAGCAAAGTCACTAATTTAAATTACATATGAAGAGATAAAGTTTCATGATACTGCCGTAATCTCAAATGTAAATATTACAATACCGATCAATACTGAACGCTCTTAAAAACGGGTCGTGGATATCATATTTCATTCATTAATTAAATTGCGTAGATATTATAATAATATGACTTAGTGGTTCGTATTTGGCAATAGTTTTTTATGTATTTTTTAGCATTTTGACTGAAAACATTAAACTTCTAGAGTATTAAATAACTTTTAATATTTTGACTAGTCAAAATATTAAATTTTTATAATGTTTCGTAACGTAACATTTGAACTAATTTTTAAATATTAAATCACCGAATTATAAAAGTTTAATGTCTTAGATTTTAACTATTCATGAAAAAAAAGTTATTTTAACAGTTATAAACACTATGAAAAAAGTTAACAGTTATTTTTATTGACTCGACTCGATAATTAAGGGCGGCAAAAAGAAGGATGGAAAAGCAGAAGAAGCAATCAGTTAAGAGCAGAATTTCCGTACCATATAAAAGCAAAGAAATGCACGTGGGGACTGTGAAGAAGACATACTTCTTGCAAGTTCCATTAAAAAAGTCTCACCCACTCACTCTCTGCCTAAAGTCAATCTTTGCGTCAATCTTCTCTTGTCCCCATCATTTCATTTATTATTTTCTTTTAAGAGTAGATCTCTTGTCCCCTTTCTTCAACATTGGATCCCTCTTTACCCCCTTTTTGTGCTTCAATTTGTCCTTTCATTTTTGAAATTGCCCAATTTTGTGAATTTGTGTGTGTGAGTAATTCATAATTTTGATTCTTAAATACTTAATTGGAGATGTGCCATTTTGAGGAGGTGAATATGAACAAATTTTTAAATTCAAATGCGGATCAAACGGTATTGTGTCATAAAATTCATTCAAAAAACAATACAATTTCAATTGTTTTATAAGTAAGATACTCTCAATTAAACTTAAGAGTTTGCTTTTATATGAATTGAGTTCATGAATTGAAATTTTTGAGTGAAAATTTCGAAAAAAACCCATTTCATTAGTGTTCTTTTATAACCTAAATTGGAAGTAATAATGTGCTTTCATTAGTTTCTCTATAAAATAAAGTATTCAGGATAAACGTAAAGTTTTATTTTCTTTCAGTATCTTAATTTCTATTTCTTAAACTCTAATTTAAAAGTGTAAATTAAACTTTTTATTGCTAAACTACCATCTGAAAGTAGAAGTTCAATAATCTGAAACCCTAGTTTCACTCCTCTCCTCTTCTTTATCCTTTTTGGCTCAAACTTTCCTCTCTTTTTTTTACGTTTTTTTTAGCGATCACTAGTGATAAATTGAACAAATTATATACTCTGTCGATCTTATCAAACCCTTTAAATCCTATTAAATTATTTTTATATAAGTGGTTTGATTTATTCATACAAAAATATATTTTTTTTTATTTGTACTTTATTCTTGTTCTCTATTCCTAATTAATGAAATACCTATTTTATCTTTTTCCTAAAAAAATAAAAATTGAATATTTGAAAGTTCATTAGCAAGAACATTTACAAGATATTGAAAAATGTAGATTTCCAAAATAATAATCCATAGTAAAAGATATTCCAAATAGTATAAACAAAATCACACCAAGATTTTATATATGAAAAATTCCTATACAATTTATTGTTTTCAAACTTTGAATATTTTGGAGTCCTCTTCTAATGCTTTTGCTAGTATTCGCCGTCGGTTTGGTGTTCCTTGGGTGGCCCCTCAAGAAGTTTGGGTTAAGTTGAATTGTGATGGTAGTAGCATTTCAAATCCCGGTTTCACTAGTGGGGGTGCTTTGTTTTGAGATTTTATGGGAACATGGTTGGGTGGTTTTCCATTAACAGTGGCCATTCAACAATATTGGTAAGAGAACTCACTTTTCTAAACATAATTATTTAAAGTATTCCCCTCTGATAAAAAAAAAAAAAGTAATCTTTGATTATGTCATAATTGACACATCTGCTTCTTTATTTTGAAAAATAAATATGATGTTTCTAAATAAAATGATATTTTTAAACTGAAAGACCTGAAGATGATAAAAATAAAAGTTAGCGATGCTATATTTAATTCTTGAAAGTAAACGTATAATCTAGAAATTCAGATATATTTTACCCTAACACTAATGACTCGCCAAGGAAAAATCTGAAAAGGTTTAGCTTTTTATGCTATTTGGAGTACGTTGAAACCAAAATGGATTTCCTTATGAACCACCCAAATAAAATGTCATAATCTACAGGATTTTTACGTTAATGCTAATATCAAAAGGCAAAAGACCTTATACTATTAATAATTCCCTCGCAATGCTTCTTTTTCTTCTTCTTGCTGATGGCTCATAATCTAATGACTACCGTGGCTTTATTCATAGGCTTAACTTTACAGTATTTCATAATCACTGCATTTGCTTGCAGTTGTGGGCAATATTGGTAAGAGAACTCACTTCTATTAAAACTGGTTTGATTATTGCTTAGGACTGTGGTTTCAAGAAGGTTGTGGTGGAAACTGATTGTTTGAAAGCTGTTCGATTAGTCTCTTCATATTTGGAGTCTTCTCATCCTTTAGCGATTCTTGTTCTGGATATTAAAATTTTATTGGCTTGGACTTGGGATTGTTCTCTCCATTAGGTTTTTTGCCAAGTTAATTTTGCAGCTGATCTTTTGGCTAGGTTAGGTCATTCTATCCCCTTTCTCCTTATTTATAAGCATTTCTTTTTTTAAGTTATGACAAACTTTGATATATGTATTAGAAACACTTTCACAGTGAAAATGATTCGAATTTGACATGAGATAATTGATTAAATCAAATATAAGTGTCTTGAAAATTTAAGTTTTGCTTCAATTACTTTTAATCAAAGACTTTCAAGAAAAGAGTTATATTTTTTTATGCTTTGCATGTTGCTTAAACTCATTATATATGTCCGTGATTTAATTTTTTATATCTAATTTCTATTAATTTTTGTCTACGATTTGATACAGTAATAATTTCTTTAACTAAATAATAGTATTTTACTATTATAGTAAAATATTAAAATTTTTGGCAAAACATTAACCCTTAAAATTCCTAATTGGATAGGGAAATTATAGATAAATACTTCTCATTTTTTCAACTTTAGTATTAGAATATCTAATTGAGTTTAAATAACAATTATTTATTAGAATTCTTAACTAAGTAATGATTTTCATTCTTTAATCTTAATTTTAAGATTCCTAATGTTAATATTAGGTCAAACAAACAAAATTTGTTAATAGTCAAGCACCTCATTTAAAACACTTGTTAACCATACATCAATTTTCTCCATTAACTGAAAAAATTAACGTTTTTCTAAATTAATAAATAAAACTTTGTTTTAAGTATTAAGAATATATATATAAAATGAAATTGTCTTTCTTTTTTCTTTCAAACAGTTTTTAACTCTTTTTATATTAAAAAAAAAAAACTCAACTTTGATAAATAATTTTTTATTCAATTTTAATATAATATCTTCAATTATAAGAAACTAAATTGGACTTTTTTTTTTTTTTTTTTTTTTTTAAAAAAAAAAAAGAACTCCAACTTATAAATAATTTTTATTCAATTTTAATATAATATCTTCAATTATAAGAAACTAAATTGGACTTTTTTTTTTTTTTTTTTCTTGAATGGAAAATTGGACAGGTTTTTTTTTTTTTTTTTTTTTTTTGAATGGAAATTGGACAGTTTAAGCTAAAAGAAACCCTATAATCGGAGTTGTTAAGCTTTCGATTTTGGAGGGAAACATATATATGCTATCAACATAATGTAATAAAAGAAGCATGAAAAAAAGAAACAGAGAAGAGAAAAACAACCGATCAAAAGAAAGGAAAAAAGAAAAGAAAGAAAAGGTAATTATACACATTTGTATTGTCTCAATATAATGAATGTTCATCTCTCCGTCATTTCAAATTTGCAGACTTCCTTAAGTATTAGTAATGCTCATACTTCATTTTAACTAGCGAATTTGAGTTAATTATATTTACTATACAATATGATTGCTGAATCGTAGTCTTAAACATTAACTATCCAAATTTCAAAATTATAGAAATGGCCATAATAATTACTTTATTTGTTAGTTTTATTATTCAAAATGATATAAATTCATTTGTTTCGTTACAAGATCAGCGAACTATATTAACTATTAATAGTAAAGTTCTACGTCTAGTTTATATGTTTATTTGTAATTCTTGAAATTAATATTCATGAATTACATTTTCAAAAAAAAAAATTACTTTATTTGTTTTAATATTTGATTAATGATAATACTAGGATATTTTTTATAGAGATGTATATTAAATAGGAGTAGAATAGATTAAAAAGATATTAGTTGTGGTGGTAAGTAACCTCAATCCCTATAAGGGTGAAAACATATTTTCGATAACCAGAAACATTTTACTGGGAGATCAAAATTAGACCTTTATGTTTTACTATATGAGAAAATTTCTCCTACTAAGTTTATAAATTGATAAAAATATTATTAAGAATTTTAATTCTTTAAGGATTTTAAATTTATTGAATAAAACACAAAGACAATTTAGTTTTGATTGGTTATATTAATTCCTATTTAAATCTCAATTCCATTGCATAAACTAAGAAATTAAATTTTATACTGAATAAGGTATATATATTAAATATGTTAATTTTATTGATTGAGAGAATAAAGGTAATTTAATTTTAATTGGTTATATTATACTATATAAAGTACATATTAAATATGATAAGAATATAATATGCTTAATTATTATTTTTAATAAATTTTTAATTTGATTGGTTATAATTCTACAAATAACTTATTTTACAAAGAATAAATGTAATTTGTTATTATATATTAAGAAATATATTATAATATTTATTATATATATAATATTTAATATAATAATATAGGAAAAAAAACTAATTAGAAATATTATATATTATAAAAGAATATTATATTATATACTATATATAGTATATATAAAAATATAATAATACTATTCGATTCCACCGTTCTTATAATAGAACCGAGGGTTTTGAAATCAAAAATATAATATAATATTAAAATAAAACATATAATATAATATTAAATAAAATATAAAAAGTATTAAATATGGTAATATAATATAATATGGTAATACTATCATATAGTAATATATATATATATATATAGATATTTATATGGTAATAAAATATAATATGATAATATTATTAATGGATACTAAATAAAGTATATATTAATATGGTAAGAATATAATATCTTTAATGATTTTACTTTTATTGGTTGAAAAATAAAGGTAACTTAGTTTTGATTGATCATACTATACTATATAAGGTATATATTAAATAGGATAAGAATATAATATATTTAATTATTATTTTTAATTTATTTTTAATTTGATTGCTTATAATTATTTCTTCCAAAAAATTTATTGTACAAATAATAAATATAATTTATTATTATTTGTTAAATATTATAAGATTTATTATTATATACAAAATAGAAAATAAAACTCAATATGTATGTTGATATAACGCGTTATATTAACATACCATATAATATATTGAAAAAATTCTTTTCTCAAAAAACAACTTTAAAATTAGCTACATGCTCGTATACTCCAGAAAAAAGTAAAAAAAAAATGCAAAATACCAAAATCATAAATGATAATCTAAAATATAATGATAATAAAACACTATCATATTATTAATATTTTTTTTTTCAAAAATATTATGGTATAATTTTTTTTTTTTTTGAAAATTGGTATAATGTTATATTTTTATAACACTGTAATTTAAACGATTTTTTTTTAACACAATTTAAAAATTATAAACTATAAACTATAAACTATAAACCATTTAACGACATAACTTCTAGACAAATCATCTGGTTATTATTAATATTTATTTCTAACAATTATGACTTTATTTTATTTTTTATTTTTTAATTAATATTTAAAATTTTGGAGACAGTAAGTACTATTATGATATGAGGTACCATGACAGGAAATAGCAGAAAATATATATTAATGCTAAATTCCAGAAATAGCTCTCTGATAATTCTGAAAATTTTCCAGATTTAGGTTCTTGCAATGCTTTACATTACTTACCCGTACAGGTACAGTAGATCAACTATTGAACTTTTAAGCAAGACAACTTTCTAATTAGAACAGACCGAATTTATAATATTAATATAATAAAAATAATAAATTGGAGTAATAAGAATTTACACTGCACTTTCTAAAAGTAATAAATAATTTAATAGGAATCAAACAATTCAAAATAGATATGATATTTTCAACGTGGTATTTTAATATTCAAATTATAATATATTAAATCATATATAATTTATATTAAATCTATAATATATATAAATATATATATATATAAATATTATATATAATATATTTGCATGTAAGTAATTTCAATATTCAAATATAATAAATTAAAAGTTTTCTAATTGAAATTAAAAGTCGATTTACTATAATTGAAAATGCTCTAAAAAGATATAAATTTTTCTATCATCCCCAACAAGAATTAAAACAAATTAAACCTATAACAATGTAATTTTGAATAGTTACAGAGTGATTAGATTGATACAACTTTCCTTGTGAAATGGACCAAAGTGAATGTAGAAGATCAGGCTCGTGGGAACCCACAGTAAAGCTTACCTGACAAATTATCTTAGCCATACGTAACACGACAATGGTTACCCAAAAATTTTACATAGAAGAAGATTCTGCTGGGTATTTAGTACAGACGACCACAAGTACTACATATATTGTTCAAGTGGAGTGAAAGATAGTGAAATTTTTTTTGCCCGCTATAAATTACTACTGTTAGGATTAATTCAAAATAATATTATTAAAAAATTAATTCAAAATAATATTATTAAAAATATTTTGGGATTTCAATTTTATTTAGCGTAGATTTTCTGCATAGAATTTGATATTTTTATTATTAGGATTAATGATTTTTAGAATTATTTTTAGATCTTATTTGATTCGCTTGTAAGCCTATAAATAGGCACATTTTTTTGTTAATTCTACGTAATGCAAAACATTATTAATCTTCTCGTGCATTTTTATTTTTCCTTCCAAAATTTCAACAATTACTCTCTCTCTCTCTCTCTCTTTCTATATATATGCGAAAATAATAGGTCACTGAGTAGGTGCATGGTCTGGCCTATTCAGCATTTCCTTTCTGTCAATATCTCTATCCTTATAACAAAACGCCTGAGCAAGCCATACCAGTTTGCAGCAGCAAAGCACAGAACACAACTCTTTAGAGAAAGAAAGAGAGAAAGAATAGTGGGATTTGATTTCCTTTTTCTTGGGAGCATCAATGGCAGTGTTAGTGATGGTGTTTGGTGTTGGGCTGTTTATGGGATTGTGTGTTTTATTTGCTATGTTCTTGAAATGGAATGAAATAATGTATGCAAGAAAAGGGTTGCCTCCTGGTACAATGGGTTGGCCAGTTTTTGGTGAGACTATTGAATTCCTCAAGTTTGGACCTGACTTCATGAAAAATCAAAGAGCAAGGTATTTTTATTTCTTTTTTTCGTATAAATTAATTAAAATTTTAATTAATTTTCTTGGTGCACTTTCTTTTCTTGTTAAGACTGATAATCAATTCTTTCATAATCTACAGTTTTTTCTTTAAAAAATTGAAAAAAAAAAAAAGGGAATTCTTGATCACACTATATGTATATAAATATAAACATTTTAGAGGAACTAATATTGTTCATAATTTTCTTTTCTTTTCCTTCTTGATAGGTATGGAAATGTCTTCAAGTCTCATGTCTTGGGTTCTCCTACAGTTATTTCCATGGATGCAGAGCTCAATAGATACATTCTTTTAAACGAAGCAAAAGGACTTGTTCCTGGCTACCCAAAATCCGCTCTAGACATACTTGGAAGCTGCAATATTGCCGCCGTGCATGGCTCTACCCATAAACACATAAGAGGTTCAATGATATCCCTTGTTGGCCCTCCCATGATCAAAGAACACCTTCTGTCGAAAATTGACAAGTCTCTGATATTCTTTCTTGCGGACTGGGAAGGCAAAACCATTGATATCCAAGAAAAAGCTAATGAGGTTGGTTTGTTTATTTGTTTTCTTGCTCGTAAATAAAAAACAAAAGGTTTAAGCCAATTTGGTTTAATGGCACTGTGGTCGTTTTCAAGATTAGGGATAACATTTCATCTCAAAAAAGCCCAAAAAAAAAAAAAAAAAAAAAAAAAAAAAAAAAAGGTTTAGCCAATTTGGTTTAATGGCACTGTGGTCGTTTTCAGATTAGGGGATAACATTTTTCAATCTCAAAAAAGGCCCAAAAAAAAAAAAAAAAAAAAAAAAAAAAAATAGACAGATTTAGGGATAACATAAGCCGGTTCCGGTTCTATGTCACTTCTTTAACCATTACGGACCAGCATTCCAGTGAGATTTCAGGCCGGTTAGAGCGTGCTAAAACTAGAATTGGGCCGGTTCCAATCTCCTGTCAGAAATGGACTTCATCATTTGGATCATACCCTGACAGACTAAAAAAAAAAAAAAAAAAAAACCACCAGCTTAAAATGAAAAAAAAAAAAAAAAAAAAAACACCAGCTTAAATGTCGTAGTCTATGTTACTATCCACTATAGTTTAATGGCAAAACCATCTAATTCACTGTTTAAAAGTCTTTGTTTGTTGTTATTCTCTAATTTTCTAGTTACTTTGTTTAAATCCAGACAAAAATGGCCGATTAGCTTGTTCCTACTACTGTGAATTAGGAAACTAGAAGGAAAGCAAAATCTTTTGAGCTTTTAATGTAACTTGACAATATCAGTTACAACTATAGCTAGCTTTTAAACCCAATTCCTTAAGTGCTTAATTAAAGCATATTAATTGAAGATAGCTCTAGTTCACCATTTGATGTGCATTTAGTGTGGTCACTAGCCTACGTGAAAATGACATTTGAACGAATATTTATCCAGAAAATATAAATCAAAAGCATATATTTTCAAGATTGCAAGATCTCTTTCCTTTCTTTTTTCGGTTTAATATGAAAAGTAAAATATTTTAATTAATGTTTTTTTTTATTTTGTCAGATGGCGTTATTCATAGGCTTCAAGCAGATTCTCGAAACTGAATCTGGTTCAATTTATGAAAGTCTCAAATCAGAATTTGATAAGCTATTACTAGGAACATTGTCACTTCCTATCAACATTCCAGGCACAAATTACTACTCTGGATTCCAGGTTGATTTTTTGAAGGCTGAATTATTGGATTTATTTATTTATTTTTGCATATTTAATCTGAAATTCTTTGCAGGGAAGAAAAAGAACTGTCAAGATTCTGAAACAAATTATTCAAGAGAGAAGAGCTTCTTCAATAACTCATAATGACATTCTGGGTCATCTTCTAAACAGCAAAGACCCAAAATACCAGTTAAATGATCAAGAAATACTTGATCAAATTATTACAATTCTATATTCAGGTTTCGAAACTGTCTCAACTACTACAATGATGGCCATCAAATATCTCTATGAACATCCTGGAGTTCTTCAGGAACTTAGAGTAAGTCATATTAGTGTTCTCTAATTTTCATTTTTCAAATGTCCTTCCTTTCTTCACTAAACTTATATTTGGATTCGTACTATTAGGCAGAGCATTTAATGATTCGGCGAAGGAAGAAGGCAGGGGAGATGCTTGACTGGGATGACTACAAGTCCATGAATTTTACTCGTGCTGTAAGTAAATTGCAAAGCAGAAAGGAAGGAAGTCTGTTGCAATGTTGAAAAACTTTTCAAAGAACTTCAATCGTAATTTTTAATTTTCAACGCAGGTGATTTTCGAAACATCAAGATTGGCTACAGTTGTAAATGGAGTACTAAGAAAGACAACGAAAGATATTGAATTTAATGGTATACTTTTGCCTGACTAAATAGCAGCAAACATTTATGAAAAGTAACATTATTTCTCAAGTTTATGTGAGATCTTTTCAGGGTTTTATATTCCAAAAGGGTGGAGAATATATGTTTATACAAGGGAGATTAACTACGATCCATCGCTATATCCAGAGCCTTTGACCTTCAATCCATGGAGATGGAAGGTATATATAGCTCAAGTTTATTCAAATTATGAAGAAAGCTAGTTAGAAAGCTCATGTATCCAATGAAATTGCAGGATGCGAATTTGGAGTCTCGCAATTATTGTTTCCTTTTTGGAGCAGGAACAAGGCTATGCCCTGGAAAAGAATTAGGCATAGTTATAATTTCTATATTCCTTCACTATTTTGTCACACAATACAGGTTAGTTACATTATATTCTGCTTTGTACAGTAAACTTGCCTTTTGCCATTATAAAATATAAACTTGTTCTTAGGTCAAATTCCTCTTAGAAAATTTGGCCTTTTTCTAAGGCTCGGCCATCCGAAGTTTGTGAAGCAGCTGCAAACATGTCACATAATAATATCTTATAATAGCAAAAGGCAAATGAAAAATCAATTTCAAAAAAAAAAAAAGGGGTATAATTTTGGTTTCCTTTTTGGGAATTGAATATTAATAAATTTTTCTTGTTGCAGTTGGGAGGAAGTTGGGGGGAATGAAATTCTGAAGTTCCCTAGAGTTGAAGCACCAAATGGGTTCCATATAAGGGTATCCAAGTACTAAAGATTAATCAGAATTATATTTAATATTTAAATATATAGAATAAACAAATTATATAATTGCAAAGTTTTTAGCTTGGTACTTATAAATGATTAAGTGAGAAGAGAAGGACAAAAAAAAAAAAAAAAAAAAAAATCTATAAATGATTAGTGAGAAAGGAGAAGGACAAAAAAAAAAAAAAAAAAATGCAAAAAAAAAAAAAAAAAAAAAAAATGCAGAGCTTCAGTTCATTAGAGTTACAGTAGCTAACTGCTGAAATGTGAAATTCAGAACATTGAAAATGTAATTCGACAATTTAAATGAACAAAATTATACTGAATCTTCTCCTCTTCCATTTGATTTTCTTTTTTTCTTTTTTTTTTCTTGTTGGGCTATGGATTTTTCTGAATGATTTTGGCCCCAGAATTAAAGTTCTTGGGCTCTGCAAAAGTGAAAAGTGAAACCAATCAGCCTAATAATTCCTTTCTTCTTTTAACAAGTATTTTTATGTCCAAAGATCAATCAAGTTTTAGATTAAAAAAAAAATTATTTTACACAAATATATAATAGTGAAATAATAATAAAAACTGCATCTTGCATGTAAAGAGGCTATATATATATATAAAGCAGCATGTGATTAGTGATGGTAAACACGTTGATGGAGAGGTGTCAACTGCAAATTATGGATACATAAATATAAATTATAAGAAATAAATAAAAATGTATTTGTTGTAGTGGTGAACATGAAAAATTGCAAAGCGTGAATGGTTTTTAGCTGTCACGAAAACCCCAAACCTGCCCATATTCCTCTTTGACAGATGCAATTTGCTGTAATAAATTCTCCTGTTAGGAGCTTAATTAATATATATGCAGCTGCTGTGCTGGCCTTTCTAGTTTTTAATGTGCAAGATAATTTTATATATTATGATCCTGACACAATATGAAATTATTGAGATAAATATGTAAATTCATATGACATCCGATATAACTCATATTTAATAATTTGTAATTGTGTTTACCTAGTTGGTGTAATTGTGTCTACCTAGTTGGCACTTGAAGTCAAACCTTATAGAGGTTTGATATGAAATTGAATCAAAGGATAATTTTTAAGTGTAGATTCCACCAAAATAATACTCTCCAAAAAACTATTTCACAATCTAATATCATTTCAAAACTATTTACCAATCTAATATTTGTCCTGATATGAAGAGAGAGTGTTGGTAGTTTCAATGCAATAGAAAAAGTTGCTCATACTGACAAACGGTTGGCAAAAAATAATTATATGAATAAACAATAATTTTTATTTTGTATCGAGATCACTAATCCAATTGTTGGTTTCAATACAAAATGAAAATTTGAAGTTGTCAAATAAACAATAATTTTTATTTTGTATCGAGATCACTAATCCAATTGTTGGTTTCAATACAAAATGAAAATTTGAAGTTGTCAATTTACCTTTTCACTAAATCACACAATTTATTTGGTGGTTTTAGTGGAGCTATAGGATGTGACCACTAGTCAATAAAAAGTATATGGAAAATAGTATTTTATTAAAAGTCCACCAGATTAATTAGTGGTTTCAATAAAAAAAATATTTGTTCACGCAAAATATTTTTTCAGCAAAACACACATATCATCTAGTGGTTTCGGTTCACAATTATTTCAAGTTAAGTAATAACAACATAATTTTTCTTACATAGTTAAAAATTACCAAGAGTAATAAAATGCTGCAAGTTGAACTTATATTATGTTAAAAATGTCTTAATAATAAATACATGAAGAATTAATCATATTAATGTCTACCCACATGTCCTCCTGTACTACACCCTGGAGGCCTCTATTACGATGTGGATTTCTGTGTACTGCATCTTCTTTAATACCTTGGTATTTTTCTCCATGCTCAATATTTATATAGACACTCATATGAGGAGTTTGAACCACATTCACAAATGATTGTTGTGGGCTAGAAAATGTCAGATAAGTCTACCACATTCATATATGGTTGTTGTAAGCTAGAAAATGTTATATAAGTCTATTGATCGGGTACCATCACCATATCAAAGAAATCATTAAATAAGTGTCTAGCATGAGATGTAGATTCATCACGTGTACCGAAAAACATCGTAGAAGTATTGAAAGCATGTATTGTATATTGAAATGGAGTTGCCTCGCCTATTTCGAAGAAAGAAGTATGAGTTTGCTGGGTTGTCATTATCGGAGTGTAATGAATGTTCAATAGTATTTCTAACGCTGCAGATGGTACACTCAACTCAGATTACACCCAGATTGTGGTGCAGAAGATGATGTGCCGGGCATATTAGCGCGATAACATTTATTATAGTTATATGCCATAGGGGGGAGGGACTTGAGGGGCATGTTGAAGCATAGGATGAGTTTCGGTGCAAATTTCTTCATTCATTGCACCAAATAGGCTCTAATCTTTGACGGAATGATAGATCTCTAAGTGTTGGTGATGTTGAACTGTGATATATATGTTGGAGCCTATCTGCTTGTATTAAAAATATATTATGGAAATAAGAGCAAATTTTATTATTCAATTAGATTAAGAAATTATAAGATAAGATAAAAAGATATTGAATAATTATCACAGCTCTAACTTCTACACCTCGAAATGAAATCCAACGTCTAGTTCGTTGCATATACCATTGCACAACCACCAGAACATATGTGTGTTTTGGTGAAAAAATATCTGGAGTGAGCAAATATTTTTTTATTGTAACCACTAATTAATCTCGTGGACTCTTAATAAAATATTATTTTCTCATGTACTTTTTATTGACTAGTGGTCACATCTCATAAATGCACTAAAACCAACAAACAAATTGTGGATTTTAGTGAAAAAGCAAATTGACAATTTTAAATTTTCATTTTGTATTGAAACCACCAATCCAAAATAAAAATTATTGTTTATTCATAAACTACTTTTTGCTGGCTGCTTGTTAGTACGAGTTACTTTTTCTATTGCACTGAAACTACTAATTAAGTTGGTGGTTTCAATACAACAATCTCTCTCCATGTCAGGACAAACATTAAATTTGTAAATAGTTTTAAAATGACACTAGATTAGGAAATAGTTTTTTGGAAAGTATTACTTTTTTCAAAAATCCCAATAACTTCATGTAAATTTCATGATATATATTTAATTGAGCTGAATAATTCAGCTCGATTTATTTATTAAGAAGCCAAAATTAAGTCAATTGAAATTAAGTGCCACAACTTAAATGTAGTACTAAAGGGCCATCTTTTTTTTTTTTTTTTTTTTTTTTTTTTTTTAAATGTAGACTAAAGGCGCCATCTTTTTTTTTTTTTTTTTTTTTTTTTTTTTTGACAATTTGAAATGATGCTGTTCATATTATTAATAAAAAAAAATGAGCGAATTACAAGCGGGAACACTATCGTCAAGTTTGGTAAAACAAGCCTCAAGGAACCGATTTAGCCAACACATGAGCTATTATCATTTATGAGCTATATCATTTGCTTGTCTTCTAATCCAAGCCAAGGTGACATTAGACAATTGGACTAAGAGTAGCTTACATTCAGAGATGACAACTCCAAACTCGGACCAGTCAGGAGCATGACTCTTCATAGCATGATAAACTTGCAGGGAATCGGTCTCAACCTGAATCGTTCGATTAGGATGGCCTGACAGCACCCAGGAAAATACCTTTCTTATAGCTTCAGCTTCTACTACTGCTGGAGAAGAACAGCCTTGCAATGAAGACGTTACTGCTGATACAAACCCGCCATGACAATTTGAGATTACAGCACCAACAGCTCCATGGCCTACAGAGGGCCATCTCTTCTTTCGCCCAACAAAGTTCACATGATACCTTAGTACGTTTTAAATCTTCAAACTGTCGGTGAGAGGAACAACCCAATTTCCATTAACAAATCTCAACTTTGATTTCATTCTTAAAAGAAAAAAAAAAAAAACTTTGATTTCATCATTAATACTAATAGCAATATATATATTAAAAAAATAATTTTTTATAGTATATAATTCATTTCAAATTGTATAATATTAAATAGTATTCATACCTAGAGCGTATATTCATAGCGTATATTCGTAGCGTAGAGACTCGAACTCGGGACTTCTCACTCTTTATATTTTCTATAAAAAAAGTAAAAAAACCAATAAGACTACACTTTATTAACAATATATCTTAACTTTATCAATGGATTTAGAGTGTATATTTATACTAATATAGTATTGAAATTAAATATTATATGAAAATTAGTTGTTGAGTTGTAAAATGCCATAACTCGATAGCTTTATATTTAAACTATATTCGGCAATAATTTTAATGTTTAGAATTTGAGGAAGTAGATTTTAAAAATGTTAATTAAATAGTTGACAGTTATTATAATAACCAGTAGTTATCAAAATAGCTAATTTTGACGAACAGATTCTTACTCTTATATATTTATATATTTATAAACTCTTGGAATACAATTAAATCAAAATTAATAATTTACAAACTAAATTAATAAAAAAATATCGATTAAAAAAATATATTATTAAGTAAAGAAAACAGAAAAAAAGGGAAGAAAATGATTATATTTGTTTCTCTTTGGCTTTTGAAAATTGGGTTTAACTACCCAACTATATATGAAAATCATCATATTTTATTTATAAAATAATTTCATAATTATTAATTTTTGGAGGGAATTTTATACCACCTTGCAGGTTATGTTATATTCAAACGAATAATTGCATAATCGACATACTAACTATATTGGATTTGAAAATATTAATGGCAAAGATTTTGAATACCAAAAAATAACATTAGCAAATTCCAAATGGATCCCGACGGATGCAATAATTGTTTTAAAAAATAAATTCACGGTGTTGATTGAAAAAATTAAAAGAGTTGATAAAAATTGTTAAAACATGTAAAGTTCAAGATTTATTTGACCATTCCATCTTTTAAATTTATTATACATTTTTAATTTTATTAATTTTCTTATATGACTTTTTTTTTTAATATTACAAAAGAATTCGAATTTGAATCTTATTATTAAGTCATATGTGCACTTATCACCGGTCTATAATTTGATTACTCTTAGGATTGTATCTATCTTTTGTTTTTACGCAAAGATTCTGTGTCGGTTTCATGCAATACAAGTGCAGTGGAGATTGAATAAGAAATGGCTATGCAAACACCAAATCTAACAATACCTTAAAAAACCCCAAATATAATATAAATATAAAAACTTAAATTATATTATTGAAAATTCATTAAAAAATTTATCCATATATGTTTTTCAAATTTAAAGAGCAGTTATGTCAATTTAATGCAATTTGTAATCAATGCCAGCTTTGCTTTTTTATATTCAGTATTTTTTTTTTAAATGCACTCCAAAATACTCTAAAATTAAATATTAGTAATTCATTTTTGAAAAATTACCCAATTTTGTTGATATTTATTGAAGTATATTAAGGATAAGTTTTAATACATCATAATCATATAAATTTTATTTTCTCGGTTGAATCACTGTTATACTAAACACTCTCTCCATCTCATTTTGTTTGCTTATTATTATTTTTTTTTTGGATGTTCTAAAATATTACAAATTTTTTAAGTTTATATACTTAAACAATGATTTTTTTTTTCATAAGAATTTTTATAATTTTTTATTAAATAAATAATTTTTATTGATATCTAAATGAGTTCAGAGTAAAAAAAAAAAGGTAAAATGATTTTTATTGATTGAATATATGCGTATATGCGTGTTTTGTCAAAATACACAAATAAAATGGAACAGGAAATATTAATTTTATTTACCACATATTAAATGAGAGGAATATATTAAATAATAACTAATACGAATAAAAAAGTTCAAATAATCAATTAATTAACCATAAACAGATGACATTAAACATTATACTTAATCCTCCACAAAGTCAAAGTTATAATTTCCCTTCTGAATTTTTACAAAGTCAAATAAAAAAATGAAAAAAAATTTTCTTTACAAATTTTCCCCATTTTTTCTTATAAATAAATCCATCTGTGATATTTCCTTTTCTGCAGGCTCTCCACTCCACCAGGGACCTAAATGATATTTAATCAAACCTGATTTTTATTTCCATATACACCCTTTAGAGCCTCTATATATCAATTGACGCAGCCAGAAAGACTAGCCACCACTTTCCTAGTTGAAATCCATCTCTTAGATTTCTCTTCTCTGCTTCTACCCTGTTTAGCCATGGCAAGATCTTCGATCAAACCCACTCCTCTTTTGAGAGATGAGCTCGATATCGTAATACCCACTATTAGAAATCTTGATTTCTTGGAGATGTGGAGGGCATTTTTTGAGCCATACCACTTGATCATAGTCCAAGATGGTGACCCATCAAAGACCATTAAGGTTCCTGATGGTTTTGACTATGAACTTTACAACAGAAATGATATTAATAGGATTTTGGGTCCTAAGGCCTCTTGCATTTCCTTCAAGGACTCTGCTTGTCGTTGCTTTGGTTACATGGTCTCGAAGAAGAAGTATATCTTCACTATCGATGATGATTGCTTTGTAAGTTCTTGATTTTTCTTCCTTTTCTTTTCTTTTTCTTTTGTTGTTATATTAGTAATTATTAAAAAATTTGCTTTCTCTTGATTTTGAATTATGAAGAGGGGAAGATTTAGATCTTGGTGTTTGTTTCAGATTCTTTGTTTTTGTTGGTTTGATTTCGAGAAGCAATTAAGAATTTAAAGGTTTATTGATTATGAACATGTTCTGATTTTAAAATTTTCTTCTTCAAGAATCTGGATCTTGATTTCTATTAATTTAAAATGACCTTTTTATTGGTGTTTTGATTCTTTTTTACTTGTGTTAAGTGGGTTCTTATACATTACTGGATTGCTTTTCATATTTGCATTTGTGATTTAGCATTTGTGCAATGCTTATTGGCAATTCTTTTCCTGCTAAGGTGATTGTTGTTCTGACAAGAATTTGAACTCTAGATCTTTGACGCCAGTTAGATCTTGCTTTACTATTGTTTGGAATGGAAAGCTCAGATTTCGGGATTATCATGCATGATAGTTATTTAAATGAATTTTAGGTTTCTGTTAAAGTTTAAAATTAGATTATCTTGATAGTATCATACCAAAATCTGTTAATAAGGTCCGCTGCAGATAGAACTGTATAGTTTTTTATATCCATGAAGAGAACCTTAATTTTTCTCTCTACATGGTATCGTAGAGGATCTGACAACAAAATGGCATCTCAGAAAGCCAGGGCTTTTCTCTCCTGTCGGCTCTTGGCTCGCTATGGTGCCTACAATAACACAACTAAAATCATTTTCTTTACTTATCATATCAGAACAACCTGATGGATTTGATGCAAAAAGAAATAGGTAATAACTATCTTGAATATTAATTTTCAGGTTGCCAAAGACCCATCAGGCAAAGAGATTAATGCACTTGAACAGCACATCAAAAACCTTTTAAGTCCATCGACTCCGCATTTCTTCAATACTCTTTATGATCCATACAGAGACGGTGCAGACTTTGTCCGTGGATATCCTTTCAGTCTCCGAGAGGGTGTTATAACTGCTGTTTCTCATGGCCTCTGGCTTAACATCCCTGATTATGTTTCCCTTCAATACTCTTTATGAATCCATACAGAAGGACGGTGCAGACTTTGTCCCGGATATCCCTTTCAGTCCTCCCGAGAGGGTGTTATAACTGCTGTTTCTCATGTGCCTCTGGCTTAATAACATCCCTGATTATGATGCTGATTATGATGCTCCCACACAGCTCGTGAAGCCTCTTGAGAGAAATACAAGGTTAAATAGATTTCAATCCAAAAACTAATTGCTACCACATGGTTTCAGTGATTGACAGTGAGGGATGGATCTTTTTGTTTCTCAATTCATTCATTCATTCATTTTCAGGTATGTCGATGCTGTTATGACAGTACCCAAAGGAACCCTTTTCCCAATGTGTGGCATGAACTTGGCATTTAACCGTGAGTTGATTGGACCGGCAATGTATTTTGGGCTCATGGGTGATGGTCAGCCAGTTGGACGCTATGACGATATGTGGGCTGGCTGGTGCATGAAGGTATTTGATTTCAGATCTAGCGTGTTTAGATGGTTTAATTCATTCATTCTTTTAGAAAATATTATCTCACAAACCTTCTCAACTTGTAGGTATTTGATTTCAGATCTAGCGTGTTTAGATGTTTAACTCACATTTGCTTAATCTCTGAACACTGCAGGTGATATGCGACCATATGGGATGGGGAGTTAAAACCGGTTTGCCCTATATATGGCACAGCAAAGCTAGCAACCCATTTGTTAACCTGAAAAAAGAGTACAAGGGCATATTTTGGCAGGAACAACTGATCCCAATTTGATTTCAGATCTAGCGTGTTTAGATGTTTAACTCACATTTGCTTAATCTCTGAACACTGCAGGTGATATGCGACCATATGGGATGGGGAGTTAAAACCGGTTTGCCCTATATATGGCACAGCAAAGCTAGCAACCCATTTGTTAACCTGAAAAAAGAGTACAAGGGCATATTTTGGCAGGAACAACTGATCCCATTCTTCCAATCTGTTGTGCTTCCAAAGGAATGCACCACCGTCCAGAAATGCTATATCGAACTTGCCAAGCAGGTTAAGGAGAAGTTTGCGGATGAAGATCCCTACTTTGTTAAACTAGCAGATGCCATGGTTACTTGGATTGAAGCTTGGAATGAACTTAACTCTCCTGAAGGAAAATCTGCAACTGGAAGTGCAAAGCTACTCAATGGCACTGCAAAATGAGCAATTTGAAAACCAGTTACTGCTTACCTTCTTAGTACTAAATCTGTTAGTTGCCTAGTTGGTTTAGCTTCAATATTATCATTATTTATTATTTATTATTGTTATTATTATTATTGAATTTTTTTCCACTATTGAATGAATTTGAGAGGATTTCTAGAACTTTTAGAAAGGTAAATTCTAATGTATTTAATATGGAGCTTAGATATTTGAGGCAATGGGATTTGAAATTGAATTGGGCATGATTTACTGGAAATGATGGGGTTTAATTTGAAACTTTTTTGGGTGGGCCGGCAACTTGAATGTTTCCTTAATGTACCTGTCTTGTCTCTGTGCTTTTGTTTTTTGTTCTTTTAAAGAAAGAAATGTTCATTACATCATATTGATAAAGAAGTTGGAAAATAAATAAAATTCATTAAAATTTTAAAACAGTAATTATAAATATATTGAGATTAGGATCTCAAATTTAAAAGCTTTAGTTTTATTAGTAAGGATGAATTTGAATTCAATATGGGAAAATCTTTTGATTTTTCAAAATCTTCCATTACCCACTAGACAAAGCTTTGATTGGTTTGTCTTGATTGGGTTAGGCGGGCTGTAGAAAATTGAATTCCTCTTTTCCTGAAACTGCGGTTTTTATTTGAAAGTGCATTTGTCTATTTGTGTGGAACTTTAAGGCCCACAGCTCAGTCTATGGTGGTCTTGTGTTGGGTTGGCAGATTTGTCAGCTATTATGGAGTGGATGCAATCTTGTTGGAATTTGCGTTTCCCTCCGACACCAGGCATATTTCCTTCGTATCAAAATATAAAATGTTTTTAATGATTGATTTGTTTTAAAATATAAATTATTTCAAATATTTTAAAAGTAAAAAATAACATATTTTCAATATTATTGTTATTTACATTAGTTAAAATATGAAATTTATTATTTTAAAAATTATGATAATTATAAATCAAATTAATATTTTATATATATATATATATATAATTTGGGGGGCTTTCGCATTAATTACCATTTTGGTATTTCAATAGACTTCAAATGAAATCCGTAAAATTGCCAACTCCGAAGGACCCAGAACAGGATCACAGGACACAGGCAACACGCGACTGGAATGCAGAAAATTTAGGGCACATTAGGGTGACGGTAACAAAAATTATATTCATTATTTAATAATATAAAATAAGTTTAATTTAAAATATAATAATATGATAAATTAAAGACAAATTAATCTAAGATTTTAATATGTTTTAAATAATATCTAATGGCTATTTTAATATTGAAATAATTTTAGATACCATAAACATTCAAATAATAATAATAATAATAATAATAATAATAAAACAATCATAAAAAGTGTCAGCATGTTTTGAAAAATTCAAAACACGCATTGAACGCAATGATGCAGGTTGAGCACGTCCATTTCTCAAGGGAATAGACTTCGACAAATTGAAATTAGTCTATTCATTTTCAAAACTGAATAAAACTCAAGCGCAAGAGAAATGTTGAACAGAGAAAAATTAGTAAAGTAAAAACGACACAATTAACTTTATTACACTCAAACTCAACAATTGAATAAGCTTGAAAACGAAGATATGAAGCTTGCCAATTTGTGTTGCTTGGCATCTAGGTTGCAAATATTCAAAAAAAAAAAAAAATTTTTGAAATATTTGCAAATGGATTCTTTATTGAAACTGATTCATTAATCTTCATTTACCATTTTATATAGATGTATCCTTTTTATCATGGTCTGCCTGTATAAAGAAAAAGCAAAAGGAAGACTTTTCACATTTGTTTTATGATCAAAGGCAATCGGAAAACCTTGTCAGGTTATCAATTGTAAACAACTTCTCCAGCAGGTCATGAGCTAACCAGATGTGAATATCAGGAAAGAGAAGAAATGACCTGGTTTGCTCATCTCTTTAATTTATGATAAACCAGTAACTGACCACTTTCATCTGCCACTGCCACCACACCTGACCCTGAATCATCCGCAGCAATGCACGAAACGCTTCCGCCTAACAACACAGGAAAAGGAGTTTATAATGGAAATAATCAAAAATTTCCAACCAAATAACTGATGTTTCATCTTTCTTGATGTTGGACACTGTTGAAAGGAAGGTATTAACGCATTTGGATATGTTTATAGCTAGCCACCCATATTTCTAAAATATAGATGTACATGTCAAGAAGGCCAGTAATTTTAATAGATTAATGTAACATACATATTTGGCGTTCAAAAGAAGTGGTCTGACATCAAACCAGATGAAAAACATAGCGCGCATGCAGGAAGGATATCTCAGAATTTCCTTTTAGATAATATAGTAGGCTATAGGAACCTTAATTGCCAAAACTGAAGTATACCTTTGAATTTATGCAGAGTGCCAAGTTTGTCTCCTGTCAATAATTCCCACATATACACAAGTCCATCAAGTGTACCAATGATTCCATGACCAGCTGATGTACCAATGGCAGAAACCCTGCAAGAGATTTCCAAAGTCAAACTTATGGCATCTCTCGAGTTGATTGTAGTTCAGATGCATGAAAGAACTTTTGTAGATTCAGCCATAAGCACGTAAATCTATTTCTTTTGGCACTAATTGCTTTTACCATCAAATCCACAGCCAGTGATGCATTGTACAATATGCTTCTCGTTTCTTTGAATTTGTCAAACTAATTTCGTGAAAATGCAGAGGGATCAGATTTATAGTCCAAAATGAGGTCGTCATACTTCAAACTAAATTTGTTTCCATCAACTTATATCCAAAGCAGAAGTTAATTAGAGAAAAAAATTTGCAATCTTTGGACAGAATCACTCAATTTAATATTAGGAAATAAATTTTTGTGCACCTTGTATCTAATGCACTTCCCAAGATTATTGTATTTTTCACCAATAGAGCTAGCCTCCACCATCCAATTGGATTTATCTGGGAAGCACTTGATTCATACTTATGCTGAGCATCAGTGTTGAGGGCAGTTGAGACAAGACACCAGATGGCAACATCTTCCCCCTTTAAAGGAGGAAAGGAATGGTTCTTGCTGTGTTCTGAAAACTGAACTTTTGTTGCATCAATGAGTCTATTTATGTGAGCTGCAACATTAGGGTAATTGGAAGCATGGACTTCTCTTTGCCAACTAAACCAACTGATAGGACAGAATTGACAAACTGAAGTGCCTGGAGTAGAGAATCTTGAGACAAAGATACGTCTTGAAATATCCCTGAAAGTACAAAATTAGTAATCAGCTACTTATGAAATTGATGCAAACGTAAAAGATATTACCCTGCAGTTATTCCATGAGGAAGAACAGTGAAAAGGAAAAAGTAAAATATCGGATTGGAGTGCGAGGATGGGGACCAAAACAAAGTGCAATGCTGCACAACAAATAGGGTCATTAATTGCAGAAGTCATAACTTCCAATTGATGAAAGAAGACATCATGTAAGCAGCATACCATAAAGTGAATTCCCCAAAGCCATTATGCCCAATAACTAGAGAAGCACATTCCGGAATTCTCTTCAACTCCATAATGCAAGGAGATATGTAATCGTTAGATGTTATGGTGAACTCTTCTGTTGGAGCACTGCAAATTGTGAAAACAGAAAAATAATAAATTTCTTCATAAGGAGTAGATGGCCACAACAGAAAGAAATATTAGGTTTAGCAAAGATGAAACAAGTACATTACATCATATATATAAAAAGCCTAGTAAAATCATATACATCTTCATTAAATAACAGCTAACCTTAATGAAACAATGATTGCATAAAACTCATAAGCTATTACTGTGAAAAATATGATGAGCTCAGGAAGAGAAAAAAAAATATTGGATTCTTCAACGCTTCCTCAGACAGGGACCATATAGTAAAGCTCAAAAAAAAAAAAAAAGCAACGGAGGCCAAGGGTCAAAATGTTGGAGTGATTGAAGAAAGAAGCAAAAGTGAGCATGAGGAAGCTGTTTCCAGTATGACTTGAGTACATACAATTGCAGATTTATTGCACTTACAATTTAAAATCATAAGGGCACTAAGCCCATGAGTTAACAGTAATAAAAAGAAAAAGCTTAAACTAAAATATTTGGGAATACCAATAAACAAAACAAGGCCATGACAACATTCAAAGAACTGAAGTAAAATCAGGTTTTGCATTCTCTTAATAAATTCACCTCCATGTTGAATTCATGGTCCACAAATTTAGTCCCCTACTCTCTCCAGCAGCAATGATATGGTCAGGTTCACACACCAATATGCATTGCAAACTGTCAGTTGTTCTCAATTTTAGTAGGACTGAAACATATCCATCTTGTACTTGTACAATCTTCACTGTACTGTTCTCATTGCAGTCTGTTGTACATGTTGAGCATAGACAATCTATTCTTCCTTCCCTGGATTCATATATAGCATGTTACTACTCAGAAATTTACTCTTCGGGAGATTTAATTTTGAGTAACACAAAGACAGAAGTAAACTACCTGCAATAGGGTGTCCTTGTGTTGCCAAGTAAAACAAGACATTTTCCATCTGGTGTCAGTTGCAAACCAGATCTTTCAAATGCAATCTAGTAAGGATTAATACAGTTGAGAAATTTTGACAATAAGTGGCAGCACATCAACCAAAGAAGTCAATAAATATAATGACAGAAATGATTTAATATCTTACTTCTCTACCAAAAATATCTGTTGAAGATGGCCAGGCTACTGACGTGTGACCTACAAAATATGGGCATCCTATTTTTGGCTCTTCAACTGCTAACTTGTAAAGAAACAGAGTTCTGTTCTTATCTACCGGAAGGCCACACACAGCACAAATATAGATTTCATTCCCTTTTCTGCTCAGCAACAGTAACAGAACAGGCATGGGGTGGAAGTAGCATCCCAGAAACTCAACAGCATCCTCCAATTCATTGTTAAGCTCCAAATTCCTCTGTTTCTTCAGTTCTGAACTGCCTTGAACTTCCTTAGAAATGAGTGTCTTATTGTGACAGAATAATGTTCCTTGTTTCTCAGATCCAGGATTATTAGCATCTGAAGTAGTTTCATCCCCAACCAGCCCCACTTTAAAATGTGGTTTGGGTTTTTCTGTAGATCGAACAAAAAGATTTGATGTATTCTGGCCTTCTGAAGGGCAGTCAGATTTTTGAGTTTGTGATATCAAATGTGCATGGCTATCAAACACAGGGTTGGATGTTATAGTAGTTTTGTCTGTATGCAAATCATGGAACTGCTCTCCAACCCTCGTATCAGCACTTAACAATTCCTTTTTATGTAGTCTGTCGACAGAAAAGCTCGTATAGGACGGCTCTGATTGAAGCAAAGCTCCTGTAGTTTCTGGGATATAACCATCTACAAATTTTCCACATCCAACACTTTCTAAAAGTGAAGGACTATGTTTTCTTACCATAGGGTCTGTATTTGGGACTTTTTTTCTGGTATATACCTTTTTTGGTTGACTAATGGATATATTGCCGATTCCAGAAGCCCCAGTATTAGTAACAGTATCCTTCCTTAATAAGTGCACAGAACTTCCCAAGGCTCCGGCACTAGCATCACTTGTACCTACAGCTAAAAGAATTAATTGGCTTAGTTGAAATCTGGGATCAAAAATCTTAGAAAGCATAAATTTATAGAGTTTAAAATCATTCAATCGGTTCATATACCGATTTAGACAAAACTACATTGCACTAACTACAGATCTGGAATGTCAGGCAATTGGAAAGGTACTACTGGGTTCCCGAGATATATTATTAATGAAAAAAATAATAATAATATGGAACTACACTTCTTTCAGGAGACAGAAGGTTAAAAATATCAATTTTAGTTACGAACATGTTCTAATTGTGTGACAAAGAAATGCAGAATTTATTGTCAAGGATTCCATAATTAATACCTTCATTACAATGAGATGCAGCTTTGAAGTCGTCAGAATGGATCTCACCACCTAATGAATTTTCAACCAGATTTTTGCAAACATCCTGGTTTACTTCAGAGGGAACTTTCTTGCAGATAGACATGCAACCTAAAATAGACTCAGAGAATTGTAGATCACCGTCCTGGGACCTTTTACTCAAATTCATTTGCATTTTATCATCATGTAATATATCTCTACCCCCTCTAGTCTCAACATGAGAAACCCATGACTCCTTTACATTGATGTTAATGAGCTGTTTCTCAATCTCGGGATGATATGCATCTTTACCAAAACTAGGTTGATCAGCTTCCACATTATTGGAAGGTAATATTAGTTGGTCCATTATATGATCCTCCCGTTGTTCGTCATCTAAGGTGTCAAGAACATTAGACTTGGTAAATTCAGAACTTTTTAGGACAGAGTGATCTACACCAGCAAATTGAGCCTCCACAAAGAAGCCAGTTTCATTATTTTCTTCATGAAGTGCAGGTATAGAAGGCAAATTTTCTGGGGGGCTAACTATTCTCTTTTTCTTGCTTGAGGTTTTCTTGAGCAGAGGAATAGCTTGTGGAAGTAGAACTGTCATCATTGACTTGGCAATATCTTGTCCAACTGAATCGAAATCGCTCCTTTCAGAACTCAAATGTGAACTGGATGTGCCCATTTCTTCCTTTGGGTATGGTTTATTCGCCAATTCTTCAGAATCAGCCACTTCGGTTGCCATTATCTCTTCCTTAATGACACGAGTAAATTTATCGCAAGATCTAGGACCAGAATTGGCAGTATCTGCATCAAAGTAGTGTCAGACACAGAAGAAAGGAGGTTTATCAAATGAATTATATTATCAAGATGCAAAATGAGAGCTCAGGAAATTGCATTTGAGCAACTTAGCACAAAAGTGGGAAGGTTGAGGAACACCTTGCACAAAGTCTAGTGTGTCAGGAGCCCATAGATCAATATCATGGACGCTTGGAGATTCTTCTGGACATAGTGCACCTAAAGCTTTGATCTCCATTGATGCTGGAAAATTGAACCCTTCCAATTCACTTTCTCGCACCCTATCAAGCTGTGAGACATTAAGAATATTTCTCATAGAAACACCAATTGAGTCTGAGAGCATGATTTTTCTGACAACTGAGAGAAATAATAATTTGTTGAATAGGCATGCAAAAGAATGCCCTTGACTTTGATGCGAACTATAACTCATATGTAGGAAGAAAAGAATGTGAGCACAGCTCACAAATAACAAGATATCAACGTCTCAACCAATTCAAAGCTTTTAGACAAAAAAGTTCAGAGGTAATAGAGGGTTTGTACTTACAGGATTTTCTTCTGCACTAAATTTTTGGACTACAGTGGATTTATTATCTTCAGAACTAGCAAGCTTGCTTTCTTCATAGACAGGGACAGTTTTCTCCCCAAGATGATCAGAATAGTCAACAGACTTCGAGGACAGACCATCTTTGGCTAAGTGACTATTTTCTCCTCCAGTTGCATAATCTGATTGCACTCCTGTAGATGATGCTCCTAGAAGTCTACAAGAGTCATCCTTCAGATGAAAACTACAAGTAGAGGGAGATGAGGAACTGCCTTGCTTAGGATTCCCATTTATTGAATTTGATGGCTCAACAATGCATTTCAGGTTTCCAGCACGCAGTCTTTTAAGACCATCAATACCTAAAGACTTGGGATCTATAATTTTAAACCTCTTACTTCTTTTCCCCGTAACTTGTGGTCTTGACAAATACGGTAACAGGTCAGAACAAGTGTGTGAATCCTGACATTGATTATTATGCTCCATATTGGAAGCCCCATTGCAGGTCCCAGAAGGTAACAAACTGTGTTCTGCTACTCCATTGACATTTGCCACCAGTTCCCGAAGTAACCTTTGCACAAATGGATTTCTGAACCCAAAGAACTGCAATCTCAGGCATAACAAAAATAAATAAATAATAACTTAGCAAAAGTATCCCGGTCCTTTTAGTTACAATGTTAGACTTTTGGAACTGGTGATTTTGGAAATAAATACAGAACAAAAACGAAATGTGCATCCTGCTTGCAAGCAGGCCAAGCTGTTAAAAATGCACGCAAAGCCAAGATCATCAGTTACTCCATTCCTTAACATAAAAGACTCAAATTGAACACTTAACATGGGCATGGTTTCTTGGTTTTCACAGTCCAAACATAATAAAGATTACAAGAAAAAATATGCACATCCAATACCCACAACAACATAGACATGAAGAATCAAGAAGGTACAACTAAATAATCAATATAAGCATTTATCACAAAGGTTGCAAATAACAGAATACCATGAATCCAGAAGTGCAGAATACTCAAAACATTACTTGCACACATTTAGTTCAATAATTCAATAACATGGTTACATAAGTCTGATCGTTATGATTTTCAATATCGCATTCACATTCATATATATACATATATATACACACACATTCAAATGTCACAAACTCAAGCAATAGAGGAGCAATATGACAAATTTTAAAGCTTGCAGTTAACCTTAGATGAATTCAAACTTTACAATGAAATAAATGAAACATAATTTTCACATAAGAATTACATAATTCAGCTCCACAAAATAAATCTGACCAGCTTAAAAATGAAATTTTGTTGCTTTTGTTCAAAATTCGCTGTTTGAAACAGAAAATAAGTCAATCGACATAATTATTCCCAGGCATATGAGATATGATATGATTTGATCTAGCAACAATATTCCTCAAAACAAGGAAGAATTTTGTCAGTAACTCATGTTTCTCTCGCACTCAAGATAATAAAAGCAAGATATGAAATTTACACTTTAAGAACATAACGAGGATTTGATTATATCACTAGAAGCCTCTTGTTAACACCATCACTTGATACAAGAAATGATCAGCCATTATTTTCACTTCAGTGAACATTAATACTTCACAGTGCATAATTAACAGATTCAAACAGATATTGATAGAATAACCAAAACAACAACAGAGGAAAACTAAAGTCATACAGAGATCATCAAGATATAACTCTTTGTAAACCTTTAAGAGTATGTGAAAGCCAAGTTTTATCCCAGTTTTTAAAAACTAATTGTACATATGGGGATATGAGAAAGGGACTGACATAATTACAATTTTATTTGTATGAAATGCAACTTGAAACTTAAAGCTTTTTGTCAAAGTTTCTAAGATGTACCTCTATACCATCTATCTTGCACAAAAATCTTTTGCCGTGCCAGATCTTCATTCGTGGGCAACCTTTCTTCTGAAATTTGTCCCAAGCAATGTCTGCTGTTTGCCCAGAACACAAGTGTCCATCAGCAGAAGTAATCTGAAAAAAATGGTAATGCATCTTTTTAGATTTGCATGAAACTAATCAGCATTAGTTGGATAGCCACAGGGTCTGGGTACAAACCACAAACAAAGGCCCTTTATGACCTTCCTGAATTTCCATCTTATAAGTGCCCCCATTATAAGCTCGGCGAGCTTGATATCCCACTGGATAAGGATAGCGATCTTTACCCTAAAAAAGTATAAATTGTGTCAACTGAAAGCATGAAAAAATAAGATGCAGGCACACAGAATTTGCAACAGCCAACGACCAGCCAGGGAAGTCTATGTTTGTTGATTTAATTAGCTATTCTTGTTCACAGGAAACATTCAGCTGTAATCAAAATTAATTCTGCAGCCATCATCAATTTAGCTGTTGTTTTACATGGGAAATTCAATTTTGGCATGGGACCCTTTGTAGGTACATCTCTTTTTTTTTTTTTTTTTTTTTTTATTTAGGCTGTTGTTTTTCATGGGAAATTCCAATCTTCGTTCGGCAGGGACCGTCTTTGTAGGTAAGCAGTCCGTCCTTTTTTTTTTGTTTTTTTGTTTTTGGGGAGTTTGTGAAACTGGACATGTGAAGGCTATTTGGATTTTCATTGTCCGGATGGTTACTTCGTCTCTCTTATTTTATTTTTTTTTTTTTTTTTTTTTTTTGGAGTTGTGAAACTGGACATTAAGTATTTGATTTTTCATGTCGGATGGGTTACTTCTCTCTCTTATTTACACATTTACTCTATTTCTGGTTTCCACCTTGCAACAAGACTACACCAGTTACTACAGCAGCAGAATAGCCCACAGTATCTACCTTTTCTGGCATGTTTCACTTCTAAGGTCACAATACTCACTGCTTAGTCATTGCAAACCGCACGTATTTTCCTGGCCTTTGTCACCAGAATCAGATTGACCTATTAAAATTTGCCTTTCAAACCCTAACCTTTTTGCAGTCAGAATATTCCAGCAACTAGATTCCTCATATCTGATCCTCCTTCCTTCTGCCCTTGCATCTCACCCGCATCAGATCACATTTAAAGAACAAACTCTAAACCCTAGACACTAACCCATCAAAGCAGCAAAAATAGATAGATTGTTCTCAGTTGTTACCAATTAATTTGACAGATGAACAAGACAATAATTAAAGAAAGAAGTTACAATAATGAAACCTTGTCAATGTTAAGTGAATGAATGACTATAATCAAAAGTCTCTTACACATAAAAGATCATTCCAAACAACTAAATCCTAACCCAAATTGTTCCTATGATCAGTTGAAAATCAAACAAAACTTGTAGAAATGCAGCAATTACCGACCGATTAGGCAAAATATAGTACTATTGTCCTGGAAAGACTCTCCAATCATTTTACGTCCTCTGTTTGACCAATCTAGATCAGGTTTCAACTGCCCAACTACAAAATTTTCGTGAAACGTATTATTAAGTCTCCTCCTCTTCTTCCTATTTGCCTGGTTTCTATTGCACCTAGCATGAAAAGGTTACTTGATTTGCTCATCTAAATTGGCCCAATTTTTTACCAAATAACAATTTGTGTCAAAATTCATATCCAATCAGCATTGCTCACACTTTTAGATGCACTAATTTCCTATCCTCTTTGTTCATTCAATTTCACCGCAAAATCTGCGTCTCCTTGGCAAAATTCAAATAGTTCGGAATTGCAAATTAAAAAAAATCAGATCCAAAAATATGAGGAGGAGAATATCAAACCAAGTGTAGAAGTTCATAAATAATGAAAGATATTTGAGGATTGACGAAAGGGGAAAACAAACCCTAGAGGAGCTCCAATACTTCTTGTCCCAGGGTCCACTGTATAGAGATCCAACAGAAATTATTTCAAGGCCGTCTGGCTTCTCTTCTTCTTTTTCTTCTTCTTCTTCTTTAGGTTTCGCCATTGGAAGAAAATTGAAGCCCTGGATTTTCAATGAACGGTGATTGTTAATATCCGTAGCAGAAACAAAGAACGAGAGACAGACGGAGGGAGGACTTTAAATGGCGGGAATGAGCACTGAAAGTCTCAAATTCCCTCCACGGTTGAATAAATGATATTTGAAACTATTACGAGTAAAATTTTTATGCTAATTTTCAAAAAAAAAAAAATACAGAAATAGGATTTTTTTTTTTTTTTTTGTCCCTGCCCGGTTGAATACAAATGATATGTTGAAACTATTACGAGTAAGAATTTTTATGCTAATTTTCAAAAAAAAAATACAGCAAAATAGGAATTTTTTTTTTTTTTTTTTTGCTTCGCGTTAAGATAAGAACCAAAGTTTGCTTAGCTAAGCTTCAACTTTCTGACAATTATAAATATATACAATATTTAACTCGTTTTCCATTTTGAAATGTTGAAGTACATATGATCAATGACATGTATTCTTACATTTCATTAGTTATAATGGAAATAGCAGATTTATTTATTTTGAAAAGCACTGTATTAATTATGTTTAATTATATACTAGAATAAATTAATAGTAAGTGAGAAGCATAGGATTTTTTTTTTTTTTTTTCCTTAAGATAAACAAATTTGCTTAGTAAGTTCAATTTCTGACATTATAAATAATATAAATATATTAATTTTTCAATTTTAAATTTAATACAATATGTCAATGACATGTATCTTACCATCATTAGTTAATAATGAAAGATTTATTTATTTTGAAAAGCATGTATAATTATGTTAATTATAATAAAAATTAATAGTAATAGAAGCAGAAATTGAGGCAATTATTTAAAAAATCTAATAATTCCAGTTACCCTTAGAACCCATTTTAGCAAGTCAATATATATAAGCCAGGTTGTACAAATATGGACACAATGCAAACACGAATGTGGACATGAAATATGGTAATTTTTAAAATAGTAGAATACCGATACGTTTAGAATGTATTATATTAAATAAGTATAATTTATTAATAATTTAAATAATTAAATAATTATTTCCAATAAATAATAAAAAATACTACTTAAATCTTATTTCGAAATAATTAATTAAATTTATAGATTAATATCATTATTGAAGATCATATCATCTCATTTAGAGATAAAATTGAAAATTTCAAGAATCAAACATTTTTAGAAGATATTAAATTAATCTCTACGATATTTGATATTTATTTTGTTTAATACAATATTGTCGACTATTTTTTTTTATATATATATAAAAGCTTTGTGAATTTCTATTTTTAAATTATGAATTAATTCATAAATTTGATAATAATAGATACATAATAAATTACAAAATGTATATTATAAGATAGAGTTTGTCTATTTTTTATTTTTTTTAATTTTATATTTGAAGTATTAATAATTACAAATGTATATTTAAGATAACAATTTTAAAATTTTTATTAAGGAATTTATCTAAAATTTTAATAAAATTTTAAAATATATCTGTAAAATTCTACAAAATGTCTTAGATATGTCTTTAAAGTTTTCTCAAACTAACAAAATAAAATAAATAATATAAAATATCTTTTAAAGGAGTATCCAAATAGTGTCGGCATCCAACATAAAATCTCCACAGAGTATACAAGACTTATACTCAAGAAACCAATGATGAATTTCTACCTCCGAATCTTGAGAGAGGAATCGTTTAATATTCCAAATCAAAGAGTCAAATTTCAGATTAAAAAAAATAAAAATGGAAGTTGCCATCTCACAATCTCTTATCAGGTATTATTTTGACCACGAGTTAAAAGTTTAAAGTCAAGTAAATTTCAAAAACTATTATTCTAAGCACAACGTTAAAAATTAAAAGTTTTAATCGATTATAAATATTTATTTTAGAGTTAATTATACTTGTGATTTCTGAATATTTTATTTTTTTATTTAATGTTTTAAGAGAAAAATTTTATAATTGAATGTCTATACTATAAAAAAATTGCAATCAAGTATATTTACCAAATTATTTTTTGAAACAAATAAAATAAACTATTTTACTTAATAAATGATATCAAACATAAACATCTATTATATATATTTCTCTTTTTTATTTTTCTTTATTTTTTTATTGGATTATATCTCCTTTCTAAAAAACCCTAAAAAATTTCTTCTACTTTTATTTCATTTTTAAATATATAAAAGAACATAGAATAATTAAAAAAAGAAATATCATAGTATAAAAATAAATTAAAATAATCGGACAAAATAGTTTATTTTGATTTTTCAGTGAGAAATTCTAATTAAGTGTACTTAATTATACGAAATTAGTTTGTTAGACAACAATTATTTTTTCAATTCAGACTAAAATATAAAAATTAAAAAATCCAATCACTGCAATTCTACAAAATATAATTAACCCTTTATTTTTACTATTATATATATATATACGGTATGTAAAATATATTTATAATATGTTGTTGCTTATATATATTATTTTGTCTACTTGGGCAATGAAGGTTCATCCTCGCATCGCAGCCATTCCAGCCCTTTTAGTCCCATGAAGGCCTCTCAAGCCCATTTCTACCGATTCTCCGAATTTTAGCACAAGTAAAATTACTTATTTTAGCAGCTATTAATTATTTTAATATGGTTTACCTGTTAGTTATTTTAGTAACTTTTTATTTAATTTTTATAAAATATTATTTTAACTTTTAAAAGCGAGTTCAGACAATATATCACCGAACATTACAAAAAATAAAAACTCTAAAAATTATTTTAAAAGTTATTATCAAACACAATTTTATTCTTTTTATTATTATTTTTGGCATGAATCCACACAAAAATAAATAATTGCAACCTAATGGTAAAATTAATACAATAAATTAAATGCCTAACCTAACTTTACCTATCAAAAACGCTTCAAACAATGGAGAAACATAACAAACAAAAAGCCAAAATATGTATTTGTAAGCGTGGTTGCACTTCATACAGCATTTAGCATTTTAATTTTAATTTAATCAAAATATTATTTTTATTATTTCATATTTATAGTATTCAAGAACGTAGTGTTTATACTAATATTTAGAATTTGAGAGAGTTGATTATGAAATGTTACTCTCTTTAGTGTTTGATAAAATATAATTAAAATAGCTGATAGCTAACAATTATTAAAATAACTAATTTTGTGAAACAAGTCAATGATTATAGTATTATTGAATAATAGTATTATCAAGGTACAGTCGGACTCTAATATTTAGAGAATTAAAGAAAATTTTTAAAAGTTAAGAGGCTAAATAAAAAATATTTTATAAAGTAATCCTCCATTTCTTCGAGTTGAAAGTTACTTAAAGAGAGAAAAACTATCTTAAAAACAAAATTATGCTAGGAATTAGGTAAATAAGCACCCAATTAAGATTATGAAACACCAGCAAAGGTTTGTTGAAGAAAAGCAAACAAATGAAAACAGTTTTGAGATAAAAGAAATGAAAAAAGAAAAGAAATGAAAAGGGGGAGAGAGAGATATCAATATCATAAAGATGGAGATGTCTAATCAGAATTTCCAAAAGGGCTAAGAAAGAGGGTGAAGATAGATCCAATGATTGTGTTCAAATCCGTTAATGAACAGAACTTTCCTTAAAGCAAATGCATTTATATGTATTCATAAGAATCTCATGGCATCCAACACATGTCCTATATATCCACAAAAAATTTTTTTTTAAAATATTTAATAAAAACAAATTAAATTTTAATTTTTAAAGCAATAATTAAAGAAACTATATACATCGGACTAAGAAAAGACCTTGAGGGTAATAGTGACCTAGGGAAAGTCGATTTATACAAGCACAGAAAGTTGTGAATACCAAGTGCTAATGTAGCTTTGTTTCTATATTTGGTAACTGAGGAATAGTCCCATCACAATAACACACAAAACCCATCTTCTTCTTCTCCTTCTTCTGCTTCTTCTTCTTCCTTCTTCCTTCTTCCTTCTTCTTCTTCTTCTTCTTCTTCTTCTAAGTTCATTTACTAGAGCTATATAGGTAGCTAAGTATGTGACAGTGACTTGTGCTTATAGCTTATGTCTCTTTCATTTTACCTTCTTTAGCATTGCACCCACAAAAGACGGAATGCATGGACAGGTTGCCCTCTCTTCACTATCTTTTCATTCATTCAACTTCACTTTGGCCCACTTTAACCTTTCTTTCAACTATCAACTATCTTTTCACTTCGACCCTAATTTTTCTTCTTTTCATATTTCTGTCAATAATGCCATCCTCAAATTGCTAGAGATTAGCTTAGCTTAAGCAGAAAGTGGGTATACTTCTTATCAGGAGGTTTAATTTTTAGTATCATATTAGGTATATCTTAATTCCTTTTTTTTTTTTTTAGAGATGTTTGACTTTAATCATATTTATTAAAGAAATAAATTTAATTCGATAAATTTGATAGTATAAAATAAATTCACGGTCTTGTTTGTTCTATTTAGGTTTGTCGTTGCAATTAGAATTGAGCACTCAGTCGTAATAAGTAATCGTTCATAACTTTAGAAATAATATATAATTAAGAAATTGCAACAAATCTAATAATCATATATGCAAGTGGTTTGTTGCAAAATGTCCAGTCATCTAATTATACATGTGAACTTTCACTAGAAAAATTCAGCTCATTATCACTGGATTCATTAGGGAATAATTTTGGAATTGAGACTCCTTGCAGTATGTTATGAAAATGTCCAAATTATAGTTTTTGAGTCAAATAATTTTAGCTTCTTCAGTGTAGAATGTTACAAATCATATGAATTCCTGTTTGGTCAATATGATCTTAAATTAGTAAGAAACTAACAAGACTAAATGTGATTAGCAATCATATTAATTTTTTTTAATTATAAAATAAAGTTAGATTTAAATCGTAAATTAAATTTTCTAATTTTTTATAATAATAAAAAAAAATACTCAGACTATTAAATTGTTAATAGAAGCAGCATATCACGAGAATTAGTTTGGTAGGTGTAAGTGAGTACTGTATTTAAGCATCCGTACAAACCGCATGCAAATTCAGCTCTGCAAATATACTTTCCTCTCTGCTTCTAATACTACTCCCATTATTCAACCCACTAGCTATACCTTTTCTTCTTATCAAAACAACACAAACCCTAAACACACATTTCTCTTCTTACCTCTCTCTCTCCTTCTACTTCTTCTTTCTTCTTTCTTCTTTCTTCTTTCTTCTTTCTTCTTTCTTCTTGTTTGAGAAAGAATGAACCTAGAAGAAAAGGTGACAATGGACTTGGTTCCACCATCTGAGCATCTCTGCTATGTCCGCTGCAACTTCTGCAACACGGTTCTTGCGGTAATTTTACATATTTAATTTTAACACTCAATCTGTCTCTCCCTCTCTCTCTCTCTCTCTCTTCAATCTTCATGATTTTGTTTCCCATACAGAAACCAAAAACTTATCTATTACTCCTTATATATCTTCTCATGTATCTCTATCATATATCATAAACTTTAGTTTCATGCTATATATTATTTATAGTAACCCTACAAATATGGGTCTATATACAATATCTAATTTTGTTTTCTACTTAACCCTACATATAATTCTCAGACATACCTAGATTTATACTCTATGATCTTTAAAATTAAGGGGAAAAACAAAGAAAATGGTAATTTCTTTTGCAAGTTTATGTAATTGAAAATGGGGTTTGTATTTTTTGTTTCTTACTTTATTTTTTTGTTAATTTCTGGCTCATATGCTTTGAAATTATCTTGTTTGAGTGTTTTTTCTAACCTAATTTGGGTTATAATTTGAATACTCCAAGAACTTAATGACAAAAAAATAATAACATTAGTATCGGTAATTCTATAGGGTTGGGATAATATTATTCTATGCAACAAACCAAAAGATTATACTATATTTTTGTTATTTTCTCATTTTTTTACTTAATATTGGGTAATAAATTAAATGTTTATAGGTTGGGATTCCATGCAAGAGATTGCTAGATACAGTGACAGTGAAATGCGGTCACTGCAGTAACCTATCCTTTCTCAGCACCAGACCTCCACTACAAGGTCAATGCCTTGATCACCCATTGACCCTTCAGGTATTTATTTTTATATCAACTGTTCACTTTTTTTTTTTTTCTTTTGAAGTTTCCTTCTTGTTCTTGGATGATCAAGTAGTTAATTAATGTGTAATTGCTATGTTATAAACCGAAACAAATTCAAATATAATCAGAATTATTCATAATATATAATCTTAATTAACTTATTTTAATGTGAAAAAAAATTAGAACTTCGGGACTTATGATAGGTGCTTATATATGTATGTACCAAGAAGAAGCAGGGTTTTTTCAGTGATCTTAGAAAGGGACAATCTTCTTCCTCATCATCATCAACATCAAGTGAACCCTTGTCACCCAAAGCACCCTTTGTAGTGAAACGTAAGAACCCTAATAACAAAATTTGCTATTTCTATAATTAAATTGAATTATGAACTAATCCAAATTAATTAATTATTTTTTCTTGCAGCACCTGAGAAGAAACATAGACTTCCATCTGCTTATAATCGGTTTATGAAGTAAGAAGAGAATATCATTATAATAAATAAATTTTCTTTATTGATCCTGTTTTTATTTACTTGTAAATATCATGTCAGCTAGAAGTATTTTAATTTCTTTCTATATCTAATCTTATTTGCTGGTGTTAGGGAGGAGATACAGCGTATCAAAGCTGCAAATCCTGAGATACCACATCGAGAAGCCTTTAGCACAGCAGCCAAAAATGTAATTACCAAAAAAATTTATATATAAATCATAATTAATGTTGTTTATATATTTTTAAAAATTTTGTTTAACCTAGTCTTGATTTTTGGTGCAGTGGGCAAGGTACATTCCGAACTCTGCGGGTGGATCAGTTTCTGGAAGCAATAACAATGTTAGAAAAAAAAAAACTCTATCATTCTCTTCTTTGATTAATTAATTTCTTTACATAAATGTAAATGCGGAATTTTAATTAGGGTTTTTACATTTTGCAGGATTAAAGAAGTGAAAGAAGAAAAAACCTAGAGAAGTTTAGACACTAGAAGAGCAAAGCAAAAACCTAGGACTTTGGATTAAGCTTCTATGTGTCAAATGAAGTTTATTGTGTTGATGGTATTTCTTTTAAATCTAGATTGAACTTAATTAATTATATATATTAAAGTTTGCATGAGGATTTGAACTTAGCTATAGCTAGCTAGGTTAAATAATTGTATTAATCATTAATTAAGCATATACATTTGGATGGTTGATTTCCCTAAGCTACTACTTTTACTAAATCAATGCTTTGGTTTTCAATTTAACATTTCTACAGAATTCATAGATAAATGGTAATCACCAACAATTATTCTCCCCATATTCAAATATGCTAATGGGTCGGGTATGGAACGGGTTTTTTTTTTTTTTTTTAATATCCATATCCTATCAGCCAAGAAAAATTACTACTGCCTATATTATTAATATTGGTTGAGAAGAGTATTTATATAAAAATAAATAAATAATAAAGAGTTAAGTCAGGTTGGTATATACCCGTATCTAATTAGATGAGCTAGATAGCTTTTTTTCTTTTTATAATATTTTTATTGTATATAAATATAATTAATAAATAAAAAGAAAATAACTTATAAGACTAAAAGGAATATATAAACAAATGGTTTCATAAATTTAATTCCGTTCACAATTATAACTTTCATATTTATTTATTTGAGATCGTCTATTGGATTAAAAAAAAAAAAAAAGAAAAAGATTTTCTTTTATAAATTTTTATTCTATTCTAAGTGATTAGATTCAAGCTTTTAATATTTTTAATAGAGATTTCAAACTTTCACATGTCATCTTGAAGACAGTGAGAGAGTACGAGAGAGATTTCTATTTCTATTTTTTATTTATTTATAAAATGCGGTATTGAATTGTTTTACATGAGAGAAGAGTGTTTTATAGGAACTAAAATCCTAATCCTTCAATGAAAAATAAAAAATCCGGCAAATTTTAATGAATGGTCCAGCGCAAAGTCTGGTAATTGTCTTTTTCTTCGGTTTATATAAAAACAAAAATAATAATGATTTTTGTTAATATCAAAAAGCAATATTTTTATGGGAAAAACTTACTTAAATCGGATCTATACATTTGAAATAAGAGCATTTTGACTATACATTTAGTAAAAAAAGAATAAAGTCGGAACATTATCCTTAGTTTCATTTATTCGGCTATAATTAGGGTCATGAACCTGATCTAGATAAATAATTTCCTATTTTTATTATCAATCAAATGTGTCTGGTTGATCTTCTCAGTAGTGTGAGAGATAAAAAATTTCGAATTCAAGTCATTTCCACCGTAGTTTTCTACCATGTTTTGTAGCGTATTATATTATTTCAATCTATCGGACATCCCAATAAATAATATTTTTATTAAGACACTGTCGTCCTCTTTCATTTCGCTTCATCATTGTTCCGGACATTCTTTATTGCAATTGATTGGCAAAAGAAGCCATGATGAACCCTAACAACTTTTGCTTTTTCAAATTGTTTGATGGCCTTATGAGCAAAGGCAAGTTGAGGATATAATTTCAGGAGAACAAACTTGTACATTCAATGAGGCTGTGGGGACAGAACTTTCCTTTTGGGTGAGGACGACGCTACTCAAAATAACAATATGTTTCCATTGAAATTTTAGAGGCAGTGGAGTAACTGTAGAGAATTGCCTAATTGCCCCAATTGTACATCCACGTTGCTTTGAGTTAAAGAATTTGACAAAGCTAGTTTATTTAGTTCTTCGGTTTTCTACTAGTCACCTCCTAAAAATACTTCTTCCTTCCATCAAAACCGAATCGACCCAAGTCGCACCCCATCTGAATCTCCTCTCCGCAATCGAAACCACCTACAATTAGCTTCGTTGATAGTGAGAACTGAGCTGCTTCGTTTAGGGTTTTGCAGCTAATAGAGGGAGTATGTAATTATATTTTGAACACAGATCGTAATTAGCGTATTTAACTAAAATCGTAGGTCTAAATAATTAATTTACTCTCACTGAAGATGAACTCAAATCATAAAACATACTAAAAGTCCGGTGGACGATTTTTGCAAGATTAAAAGTTTAATTAGCCTGAATAATATTAAATTTCACAAAAAAAGAAAGATAATCTATTCTTTAAGAATTTTGATTCGAGATCACTCCTTTTGCATTAGTGAAAAAACTAACCAGATCACACTCGATCAAAGTTATTTTCTATGCAAATTTTATTATTTTATTTCCCATAATCTCTTAATCACTGCTGAACCAGAATTCCTCTAAGAACTAACTAATTAATAAATTATATTTATGTACGAATTGCCATTATGCGTCATGAGTGATATCATAGTATTATAACATGCGTCATCACTGACATCAAAGTATCACACATCTTAGACTATAACATCATAAATAAGGTGGGCATAAAAGTGGACATGCACATGTACTTATAACCATTTTATAAGCCTTTAAACATATAATTACTCGCACTAAACATATGTTTTTACATAATTAAGGTATTAATGTTACTTTAAGTCAAGTTGCATTCTTAAAAAAACACAATACCCATTTATGTTGCCTTTTACAACTCACTCTCCACACACCACTGACAAGAATTAAAAATAAAAATAAATAAATAAAAAGACTTTGACTTTTTTTTTATCAGTGAATCAAGTGGTTTCTACACTTTTAAGCGTCAAATGGAAAGATAATTAGGGCTGTAATTATACTATATATAGAAATATTCTCTTTTAAACAATTTGTTCTTTCTTGGGTCTAAGCTCCCAAGTTTTTGGGATAATCTTAATCTATACAATATGGTTACCTGTAAAGAACTGCAAAGAAAGGCTAAATATTCCATTCAACAACATTAAGGAATCAGAATGTTGAAAGCTCATAATTTAATTAGCTCTTCTAAATAAAATATTAAGAACCATAAAAAGAAATTTATAAAAATAAAAAAAGATTACTGCATATTTTTCATTTTGCCTCTTTTCTTTGTCCCTTCAAAATTTGCCCCTTCACAAAGTGATGCAACCCAGAATCTGCTTTGGATAAATAAAAAGTGAAGGATATTTGATGAAATGCCAAGTTGTATTGACTGAGGAACTGAATCCTTGATTTAGAACCAGCATAAAATTTACAAGGCCGGCCAAAATAGAGTAATCTAGAGCAAGAAAGAGTATTAAACTTACATGATCTAGAGTAATTAAACCATATTAATAAATTTCTGTTATATACTTATCAGTAACGGAATGTATTGCATGTTGTATCTTAAGTTTCCACTGAGCTCAAGTCTACCAGCCTTTGTCCACTGCACCATTGAAGTTAGTACTACACATTTGATGCACCATTGAAGTCAGTTCTACACATTTGATGCAGCTTACGTTCAAAATAGTCATTTAACCCTGCATCGACGATGCATTTTACCGTTACTCCATAAGAAAGATTTGGCTAGATTTATAAATAAAAATTGACCGAGATCTCCTATCTTTAGATGGAAATCCAAAGAACGAGCATTGGATAAACAGAACTTTACCAAGATTTTTGATAAGTTTTTGAAAGAATCCAAATTCAGTCGATCCAACAAAACTGAACAATTTCCAAAATTAGCATTAAAAAAAAAAAAAGGCAAAAGATTTCAAGCTGTTAGTTTACATACCTTGCTCCTTTTATGCCCCATATGTGGTAAGAAAACTGGAAAAATCCTCAACTTCATGCTTCACTTGTGCAGAATTCCTCTGTTGCTCGACCCTATGAAGATGTGATGAAAGTTGAAGCAAATCTACAGTAGATCCATTTTCATCAGAAGCACAGTATTTCGCGTTCAAAAGATCTGATTCTTGAAGAAAGCCGTCTGGTTCAACTTGAAGTTCACCAGCATAAGAGACTGTGAACGATCCCATATGGTTAGATTTAAAGGGATTCAATCCAGATGAATGAAATCCATTCGGCAAATACTTTTCCAAAGACTCTACCCCAAATGGTTTGTCAGAAATGCCAACACTGTGATGGGAACGATTAGCTTGACTGATCGAGGGCCTTGCCATTATAATTCCTGCTGAATGACTTAAGTCCTGTGATTCAGCTGACAGAAGAGAGAGAGCACAACTGGAATGTGACACCCCGGCTAACTCATGAACAGTTGATGCAGTATTAAGACGAGTGAACTCATCAGTTGCTGAAGGACAAATTCCAGAAGTGTTTTGGATCCCATTGCCATGTAGACGGAGAAAGGATTTTGAAACAAACTGCCCATTTGAGTTGTATACTGATTTCTCTTCCAATTTAACTGGCCTATAGCAGTTAGATGCTTCATGTCTATCTGGAGAAAGAATACCACCAGCAAGCATGTTGGGAAACAGAAGAGACGCTCTGTTCGGCAAGCAGGTCCCCAAAAATTTTGTCTCTGCAAAATCATATGCATCAGAAATATAGAAATATACATTTAGCAAATAAAATTTCCAATTTTGTGATCATAATAAATCATTGTTTTTTAGGGACCACTATAACTCCATAACCACGTACAGTAAGTCCCATCAATGCATAATCATGATTTCATTAGCAGTGCATACATTTATATTAGGGAGTTTATGACCTTAAAAACAAATGCTTAAATCAAAACAATTAAGTAAAAACATAAATAAAACTAAATAAAGATTAATTAAAATAAATAAAAATACTAAAAATCCTAATAAACACTATATTAAAAATACTATAAAAAATTAGCCTATCAGAGCAACTTAAAGAGTGAATAAATTCCAATTCCCAGAAGAGCAGTTATATCAGACTATAGAACATTCAGAAGAAAGGAAAATATTGGCTTCAGTCTCACTAAATCTATTGAAATTTCAAGTTAAGATAAATATAGCTCCACCTCTATTTCTCTTTCAAATTTCAAACAATCTCATACTGAATTTCGTAATTTGTTAAACTAATTAATCAAAAACTGAAAATAATTTTAGGAAAGATTTGCACCAAATAACAGAATGTCTTGCAGGTTTACAAATTCCCACATCAAAAAGAAAAGAAAAGAAAAAAAAAGATTGAACATATCAAGTTACCATCCGGGTCTATCAATCACAGTGCAAGCCTGAGCCTAAGAGCAATATAGAATTGAGTAAAACAGAAAGCAAGCTCTTGAAACATGCACTAAAACTAAAAGATGCAACAAAATATTAACTCTTACAATTTCTTTGCCGGAACATATGACTGTAAGAATTGCATGCATCAGATTAGATCATTTATGAACAATTGAATAAGAAAAAGAAATAAGTCATCGATAAAGTAGAAGTACTGTCTACATAAAAACAGTAAGGCCAAATGTAAATAAAAAATTTGAACGTTACATATTTAAAATTTATATACAAATCAAGTTCAGATCCCATCAAGGGGCAAAGTTTAATAAAACCTTAAAAATGGAAAGTCTATACGACATCAATGAGCTTTTTCTATTATTGCCCTGTTCATTCGACTTTTATATTAAACTGAGTTGCATTTTCTGCGCAGAATAAGAGTACAAACAGTTCATACCTTGATATGACTGCAGTAACTTATGTCTACCAGAGAGAGCACCAAACTGAGGCTTCCTTCGCCGTTCATTGTGCCCAGCTAGGCGTTTACGACAACTGCGCTTACCATCGTCGAATTCAACAAGCAAATGAAACCTGATTAATCAAGTCAGAAGAGAACAAACTTACTAAAACAATAGAAGGAAAAGACACTAGAGAATGCTAATTATATACGCGATTCATGCGGTGAAATTACATTACAAAATCAATTAGACTAGTTATATAATTTACACAATCACCTGAAAAAAAGAATATTATTTACCTAAATGCACTGAAAATCTAGATGCACTCTAACCATAATTTTCATCTTACCTTTACTTTTACGCTATTATGCTTCCTCACCCTTTTTTCCTAAATAAAGAAAACCAAGCGACTTGCGCGTACATAATCTTTATAGTAAGTTTACCGTCATCATTAAAAGCCATAAAAAAATGCATTGAATATGGCCCACAAAAAGTAAGCACGCCAAAGTAACTAAGCATCATAATTAAAACAAAGAATGAAGAAAAAGGAGGAAAAAAAGAAGCCAACCTGCTACACTGCTGGCAAAACCTTTGCTCAACACCATTAACAATAACTTTGGGAGTCTTTGAGTGGATCTCACAAACTTTATGCCTCTTGTGGTAATCCTTTAAGGAGCTGAGGTCTTTGTTACAACCATAGACCTGGCAAAGAGGAGTCTGTAATCGCGAACTCATTGTTCGAGCTCGCTTTGGCTGAGAAGTTGGACTTACTGAAGATACCACTGATCTTTCTTTCAAAAACTTACTATTTTGTGCATCTTTGCCATCAATCAATCTACCTAGCTTTAAATCAATTAGTGACGAATCCTGACTGTTAGATTCCATGAGAGAATTAGAATGGTTTGACCCAGATTCCAGTGATGAATTTGAAGCAATCATATAACTAGGAGAAGTTAGTTCTATTTTACAAGAATCAATACCAGCTTCATCACTACCAAGCATCCCCGCACCTGTATTACTACTAGCATGAAATGGCTTTTTCGGAATTTCGCTGAAACTCAAATCTATAAACTCAGTACTCTCGACAGATTCCCCATCCCATCCTGTGAATACTCTTCTATTTCTCCCATACGAATCAATAGATGAATCTATTTCATCTGAGAACAGAAGGCCTTTACCTTCCGCAGCAAAGCGCCAACACTCCATCAACAAAAAAGAAAAGCAATTGCAGAAAGTAGGCAGAGTCTTTAGTGCCCCTAACAAAAATCACAAAGAGAATGCTAATCACCATATAGCAATAATTCATTAAAGTCAAAGAAATTGCAATAGCACAAACATCATGTAAACGGCAACATCAATTATTTCAAGATATGAAATTGACCATAACAAATAGTGGATATAAATCAAATTCAATACCCACGACTCTGCCACTTGATAGACCAAATTTAGAGAGACCCAATTGGTTTCAACATTCCTCATAAGCACATCACAGCAATGATGACACTAACGACAAACGACGACAAAAAAATTTCTAAATTGCAAATAAACTAAACTGCACTGCCTATTTCTTGGCTGAGAAATTTAAAGGACAAAAGAACATAACTTTTTTTTTTTTTTATTTAATCTCAATCGACTCTGTATATTTTCTTTTTATTGTACAACAATAACTGAGGTCTAGAAAATATGGAACTTCAAATTTCTACCCACATCACTTTCCTCCAGTTTTCTCAGCAGCCAAATAGAGAAAACAGAATACGGAGCAGAGTAAAAACCCACAACCACAAGACCCTTAATAATATCTTTAAATGTTCAGTCTAAAACCAACATAGGTAAAAGGAACACAAATCTCAAATCCCAAAAAAAAAAAAAAAAAAAAAAACAGTCTAAACCAAACATAGGTTAAAGGAACACAAATCTCAAAATCCCAAAAAAAAAAAAAAAAAAAAAAAAAAAAAAAAAAATGAGAGAGAGAGAAAATATAAAAACAAAGAACCAGACACAAAAATCCGCCCATTTGAAAAGCTTAACAAATAAACTAGTAAGCTTGATTACTGAGAACTTGCAAGACAAAAAATGGGTTCGTTGCAGGATTCCAAATTTTCTCGTCTTCTTACAATTTCCACAAAAAAAAAGCACATACACCAAAAAAAAGGGAAAAAAAAAAAAGAAAGAAAAACAACCCAGAAAACATGAAAAACAGAGCCAACACAGTAACATTTTCTTTTGTTTGGCTTACCAGAGAAGATAATAGCGACAGATAGCGAGAAAGATGGAGAGAAGGGCGAGAAAGATGGAGAGAAGGGTATTATTTTTCCTTTCAGATAAGTGGAGAAGAAGTCGAAGCAGATATACATGCGCTGTGAGTCAACATGATTTCCACTACTCATACATTGATAATACATACACACTCTCTGGTTTCAAAAGCATGTCCAGGTCTTTTGTAGCTTTTGAGAGTTGACTGTATTTCCTATTTTGTCCATACCCTTTCTATTTTATTCCCATCGCGAGAAAAGCATTCAAAAGCATTATTGTTTTTAAATTTTTATCTTAATTAATTATTTGCAAAATGTTCTTTTTTATCGTTCTATCCTTTTGATTTTCATGTCTCTCGCCTGATATGATCTTGATCTGATCTGCCTCATGTGATCTTGTTTTGCTCTAATTCTTACTTTTCATGTCCCTTCAAAGATAGGACATTTATAATTTTTACATGAATATCATTATCGAATTTACTAAATATGTAGATAATATTTTTTTCGATGCGACAATATCTTTTTTTTTTTCTCAAATATTGATAGAGAAAATTTTAAATATACATATAATACTACTCGAGCCATTAAATGAAGTTTGCAAGTTCGTAAATGTTGACGTTGTTGGTGCAGTTTTTTTAATTTGGGATAATCTATATTTGTAGACAACAAAAAATGAAGTCTACAAGTTAAAAAGCTATGGCATGAATATAAAGATGAAGGAAAAAATTTTCCAATCCCATTTGTTATTATCTATATGTTGTTTTAGCCATGGTTCTTCTAGTGGAGGCATGCTTGGATATTTTTATGCAACTTGCTTTTTTTTTTTTTTTTTTTTTTTTCCCCGTTCTATTCCAAGGTAAATTAGTATTGTACTTATTAGGATGAGCGACTTTTTTTTTTTTTTTTTTTTCCCCTTCTTTCCAAGGTAAATTAGTATTGTAATTATTAGGATTGAGACCAACTTTAAACTCTTTCATCTTTTTAGGTATTTTCTCTTGTACACAATACGTGTAGAAGAATGAATGAATATTCATTCCATTATAAGTGTCTTTTAACATAATAGCACAATAATTATTAAATAATCTGATTAAAGTATAATTATACGATTAATTACTCATTTTATCACTTCTCTAAATAATTAATATTTATCTGATATTAAAAGATAAGGATATAGTTTAAAAATATTTAATACACTTTTACTATTTTAAAATCACAAATGAAGTAGTAAAGGTATTTGTAATGGAATGAACAAAATAACCGCATAATTTGTTCGGTCAAAACACTGTCTTAGCATTCAAAACGTTATTTTCGTTAACGTTTAATGTTTTATAATTTTTTTACGACACATATCTTTATCACTTGTCTGTACCTTATTTTCTGTTTTTATATAATTTTTTATCGTTTTATATTAAATAGTTAATCAAATAATTATTTATACTGAACATTTTTATTATAAACCGCTTGAACATTTTTATTATAAACCGCTGTATAAACAGCTAACCATTAATAGTTAATATTTAAAAATTAACCACTACTGGTAAAACAACAGCTCACAACGAATAAAATATTTAATAGTTATTAAAACAATTAAAATTATCGATGGACCCTAAGTTCCTTGAAACTTTTATTGACCTTGTTTTTTCGCTCTAATGTTCTGTTCTTTTACCCAATATTCTTTAGCTCGTGTGAATTGGAATTAATATTTTAATTCTTTCATTAGAAATGACGAGATTTCCAGGCAATTGCTCTTTTGGTCTCCCTCGTGCAATGTCTTTTTTCCTTTGTCAATAAAATTGTAAACGTCAAAACTAGATTAGACAAATGATTTTTTTTTTTTTATGAAATTTTGATTTTTTGTTTCAATAAAATTAAATTATAGCTCAAATATGAATTTAATTGTTTATGTCCATTTCTTGGTGTCTCTTTGAGGAAAGAATGGAAAAAAAAAATAATGTATTACTTTTTTTTGTAATCAAGAAATATTATATACTTTATACGGTAATAAATTGATATATAATTGAATAATGTATACATAATTTATAAATTCAAACTGACCAGAAATGGACGTGAAATCTTTTCAACCCCAGACTTATCATTGGATAATATTTTTTTTCTTTAATATTTTCTGCTAAGAATTTAAGAATTGATTTATTTAGGCCAGGTCTTTGAGATCACTCGTGTATCAAACTTATAAAAAATATTTTTTTTAAGACAAATTATTTCTGACAATTCATTGTAAAAAAGATAAAATGGAAATAATATTTCAAAAATCTATATTTTTATTGATTTGGTCTGGATTTATAAACTAAGTTTAGACAAGTATAATTATGAGACAACTAATTGATAGTAATATTTATTATATTTTAATAGATTTTAGTAGAGGTGAGCAATACTCGTTTCCGACTAAAACTGAATCAAATTGATTTATTTTGATCGGATTTGAATAGTTAAAAACTCAATTACAGATCGGTTTGGTGAGAAAAATATTTGCATTTTTTAGTTTTTGGTTCGGTTAACATACATAACTATTTAATTTCGAAATAATCAAATTCAAATGAGCTGAATCAATTTAATTCGGTTTTATATTAATCGATTTTGGATTCAATTACTATAAAATTGCATTCAGTTAGCAGAATTTGAGATTATTTTTAATTCCGTTCGATTATCGAAATATTGACCCAAGTTTCAGTCAAGAATGTCCAACTATTTTGTTTATATATTATTTTTTTTGAACAATGGTTTATAAATTATCTAATTATGAATTATTACCTCACTTTGAGGAAGTTTGAAACTCAAGTTTTGTTTTTGGTAAACCAAGATTTATTTTTCCATGCAACTTTAAAACCTAACCGAAGGTAAAAAAAGTCTCTGTCTACCAAACTACCAAGTAACAAGCACGCTAGTGTCTAAAAGACAAAAACTTAACACTTGCATATCTTAACATGTAATTGAGGACCCATATCGTAAATTAGGTTAAAAGAATATTACCTAAAAGGGTAAAAATATAAAAATTTTATTTTTCTCTTTTTAGACACTACTAATTAGAAAATAACATAGTAACAAGATGATGCAATAACTAAAATAAATTGCTTGCATAAGCTATTGGATTAAGAACAACTGAATTTAAAAAATCAATCAACATATCATGTAAGATATTTAAGCGCAAACTAAATAAATGTCAAAAATAAAGTTTCTGTATTAATAAAAATATCAAAAAATTATAAAATTGAGAGGATGTAAATATTGATAAAAATAAATAAATCAGCAATCCTCAAATTAATCTTATACAACTTATGTGATTCAACAAAGACAACAGCAACCGTAACAGCGACAATAACAACAATAAAAGAATAAACTCATATATAAATAACGAAAATAATATTATTTTAATATTTAAAATCAAATTGATATTTTTTTAAAATAAAATTTCAAAATATGATATTTATTACAATATTTCAATATTTAAATCTAATGAAATCTTAATATTCAATAATTGAGAATTCACATATGCGTATACATAAGCAAATTTATTTCACTGCAATTTAAAATGTAATGGCGAATAAGCTCGTTTCACATAAGTCCAACTTATGACAATCAATTATATATATACATATATAAATAAAGTAGTATGTAAATTATTGACAATTATTGAGCAAAAACACAGTAAGTAAGTAAGGAGGTGATGATGTTTTACATCCAAAGCAAAAAACTTTTGAAGTGGGTGATACTAAAGTAACATGCAGTAGGCATCTAGGCAAAAAAGATTAAAAAGAAAAAGCAAGATTGATCAGAATGGGCGGTGATTGAGCAATTAAACTCCAAAAGGGCAATACCATAAATTTGGCAGAGAAAATCAAATCACATATCAATAAAAGAGGAAGTGACAAGACCCCTGAGTTGCCACTTGTACACCAGGGTGAGCATAAACGTGTCCCAATCAACATCGTAAGGAGACAGAGAGAGTGAGTGAGTGAGTGAGTTAGTGAGTGACTCAGTTGTATGTCTCTGTCTGTGCTGACACCACCAACTTCAACTTTTCCTTTACAATGAGTGCCAACTAAAAGCCAACCAAACCAACCAGCCTTGTTTCTTTCTATCTCACTCTCTCTCTCTCTCTCTCTCTATTAGGAGAGAGGGCCTGTGCCTATTTCTCAACTGCCCCCTCTCAAACGGGTCAGTGAGCAGACACCTCTGAAAGCTGCCTCTCATTGCAATTTTTGTACCCTTTCTTTCTTTCTATTCTATAATTGAGTGAATTCTTGGCTTCTTGCTTTTCCTTTTTCTTGTGTAACATGCAACTAAAGCTCTGTGGTAACATGTGTTGCTCTAGGGATGATTAATTTTATCAAACAAAACAAAACAAAAACAAACCTACTCCTTTTTTACATTCTTGTTTAGTTGTTTATCCACATAGGATTTTTTACTTTAAGCAACACTATGCCACTGTATATATAAGATTTACCGACGGCTGATATATGAATGGTTTTATACACTGAGTTAATACATAAAGAGAATTTTTGATTGATTTAATGTATAGAATTGGCTAAAATAAGTGCTTTTTTATTAAAAAATAAATTGATTTGGGACTTTCATTCATAGGATTTAGACCATGTATTGAAAAAATAAATTTTAATTATTATTTTTAAATAAAATGATTAATTTTCAAGTCCTCTTTAAATTTCTCTCTCTCTTTTTTACATTAGACAACCATAGAAAACTTACCTAAATTGAGTCCATGACCTCAATGCAAGGATCAAAGTAGTAAAAATATAATTTTTTATTGAAACCATCGTATTTCAACCCTACGGTCAGCAAAAAAAAAAAATTTATAAAGAAATAAAAAAGGGGAAAATATAGAAAATAAAGTAGATCTTTTTATAATAATTTCCATTATATAAAATATCATTATTTTCTGTCTAATTGTTTAACCCTAGTTTTAGTTTGAGAGTGCTGCCGTTTATTTTTTTAATAATTTTCATTATATAAAATATCAACTGTAGCCTTCTACCTCATATTTTCTATTAGCTTTTTCGATTCTTTTCTTTTTTTTTTTTTTAATAAATTCAGTTTTGTTTTTCTATAACAGATATATCTATTTATTTTGTTCTAGTTGGTTGTCTCCATATTTGGAGTTTTTTTGTCCCTTCTTTGTAAATGTTTATTATTAAATAAAAT